CGCATGCTTAAATACATATATAAAATTACACTTATTTCTCATAATTTTTAAATATTTTATTTACTAATCTAAGTTTTAAGTTAACTGCTTAATAGAATTTTAATAATTTTAACCAAAACTGCCAATTTTTATTTGGTGTATAATGTTCTACCTGACTTTATAACTTTTTTTTTACAATTAATGTTTTCAATAAAATCTCTCTTTGCAGCAACAAATTCATGCACAACAAATTCCTGGTGCCCCAACACAGTCAATTCCATCATCTCTGGGACCACTTGGAGCTTTAGGTGCTTTTGGGCCTATGGGGTTGTCTCATGGATCGCAAGCTCTTTTAAAAAACCCCCAAGATATCCATCGTGAAGACATTAAAGTTCCACTTGTGGTTTCAGCGGTTGAAGAACGATTGGTATATTATTCATTAATGTTTGCTCTTGTATTATGAAGATATTTTTTTTTTAGAGAAATTCTGTTTCACCTGCCGATCGTAAAGAATACCGAGCTCGATCGCCACTTGACGTTGATATAGAAGCAAAACGTCGAAAAGAAGATATAAAGATGAATCAGGTACGTCAGAATATATCTCTATAGTAATAGAAAAAATCTATTTTATTGAAATTTACAATTATCACACAATACTTGTTCATAGCGTATTGAAATTTGTTTTTGTGTAATTTTCGGGCGGAAAATGCATCACTAAAATTTTATTTTTTAATCTTTCCTTTCATAAAATCTACTTAAAATTTGAAACCAATAAATAAGAGATTCTTAAATGATCTACATATAATTCAGTTCATTTGCATATTTGAATTTATAAGTAGTGATTCTTTTCAGTCACAAAAAGGTAGGGTAAAGTGACATAAAGTGGTTACAAAAAAAAAAGAGGACCTATTGTGGTAACACCTAATTTCGAATGCGATTTTCTTCGCTATTTTACATTTTTATGGCTCAAAACTTTGTACAGAAGTAGAGTAGATAGTTCAAAGCACTTCTGTAAAAAGTTTTGAGCCATAAAAATGTAAAATAGCAAAGAAAATCGCATTCGAAATTAGGTGTTACCACAATAGGTCCTCTTTTTTTTTTGTAACCACTTTATGTCACTTTACCCTATATCTAATATAATGGCTCTTCGAGGAGCATCAAAATTGTTTGCNATCTGTTTCTTGAATTTACAGCTTACAAAATAAACTGAAAGATGCTATGGAAACTATTTTCCTATTATTTTTAATTATTTTAATATAGATATATAACTATATTTTAACCTTGTTTCTCAGTTTGAACACTAGCCACAAACGATCGAGCAATATGACCAAATTCGATTTGATATGACCACATTAAAGTGTTCACGTTTGATTCTCATACAGTGAAAGTTTATGTTGCATAATTTTTCTGTTAAGATGAATCAATTCTTGATAATATAATTGATCTTTTAAAATAGTTAAAATAAGAAATAAGCCGAACAGAAAAAACTTATAGACCTTCAAACTCGAAAACAAAATCCGTTCCACTTTTTGATGTTTTACTCTGCTACATAAGCACATGAATTCTGCTTTATGAAACTTATCTCAAGCTGCTGTTGATAATTTTTTGTGTCCTTTCTATTCTTCCTTTTCAAATATTGCAGCAACATCAGCAACAGGGTATCCAGCAGCTCCTTGTAAGTTTTCTAATTTACAAATGAATCTTTGACTTGAATTCATGAACTAAAAAGACACTTGAGTTTAGATCTTCATTTATTCGCATGCATAGATATTAAAAAATGTTTCTTTCACATTTCTAATAAATATCATTATTGCATGACTTACATTTGAAATAAAAACGGAAGTTTTAATCCATGTGACTAAATTAAAGTAGAAGTACATTAAAGCACATTTATTATTTGGATAACTATAATTCATTATTATTATCATAATGTAAAGACAATTATCATAATCAAGCGCATGCTTAAATACATATATAAAATTACACTTATTTCTCATAATTTTTAAATATTTTATTTACTAATCTAAGTTTTAAGTTAACTGCTTAATAGAATTTTAATAATTTTAACCAAAACTGCCAATTTTTATTTGGTGTATAATGTTCTACCTGACTTTATAACTTTTTTTTTACAATTAATTTTTTCAATAAAATCTCTCTTTGCAGCAACAAATTCATGCACAACAAATTCCTGGTGCCCCAACACAGTCAATTCCATCATCTCTGGGACCACTTGGAGCTTTAGGTGCTTTTGGGCCTATGGGGTTGTCTCATGGATCACAAGCTCTTTTAAAAAACCCCCAAGATATCCATCGTGAAGACATTAAAGTTCCACTTGTGGTTTCAGCGGTTGAAGAACGATTGGTATATTATTCATTAATGTTTGCTCTTGTATTATGAAGATATTTTTTTTTTAGAGAAATTCTGTTTCACCTGCCGATCGTAAAGAATACCGAGCTCGATCGCCACTTGACGTTGATATAGAAGCAAAACGTCGAAAAGAAGATATAAAGATGAATCAGGTACGTCAGAATATATCTCTATAGTAATAGAAAAAATCTATTTTATTGAAATTTACAATTATCACACAATACTTGTTCATAGCGTATTGAAATTTGTTTTTGTGTAATTTTCGGGCGGAAAATGCATCACTAAAATTTTATTTTTTAATCTTTCCTTTCATAAAATCTACTTAAAATTTGAAACCAATAAATAAGAGATTCTTAAATGATCTACATATAATTCAGTTCATTTGCATATTTGAATTTATAAGTAGTGATTCTTTTCAGTCACAAAAAGGTATTTAATTTGGCATTTGAATTTAAGATTTACCCATTAGATCCATTAGTTCTAATATTTTTAATGATTTTTTAGATTTTATTATTTGCATTTCATTTGTTTACTTCTATATATTTTACAAAATTCGACAATTTTTAAGGAAAGTGACGGAGAAAAGAGTGATCAGGATTTGGTTGTTGACGTCGCAAATGAAACGGTAAGTCAATAAAATTTGCAATGTGACCAATGCGATAGTTTAGATTCCACAAAAAAATTAGTGATAACAAAAATAAAAGAAAACTATTTTTTTTCTTATTATCATCATAATTATTTTCTCAGTTTTTTTACGATGTAATTATTTCATTGCTTGATCTTGATCGATCATCTTTTATGTGTCATCATTTTTCGCTCGAAAAAGTAAAAAGAATTATGTATAAAAATTCAATAAAAATTTATTATTTCATTCAACCAATGAATACCTAATTGACTTCTAAATAAAATTCCTCTTTTAAGGGCTCCTCATCCCCTTGTCCAAATGGTGATCATGCAGAATCACGTGATAGGGATAGTATCGGGTTGAATGGAGATAAAAATAGTGAAAAAGCAACCAATAAGTTGAACAATACAAACGATCGTCCGCTTTCTCGATCTGGTTCAAGTTCATCTCGGTCGACACCAAATCTCAAAACAAAAGATGTAAGACATCACCACAATTAATTATTTTAAATAAATAAAGATACATATTAACTTTTTTTTTCATATTTTTGGAAAAGCTCGAAAAGCCAGGAACACCAGGAGCTAAAGCAAGATCATCAACACCAAACACTATAACACCAAACGCTCAAAAATCGATCGCTCCACCAAATTCAGCTGGTTATCCAGCCTCACCTTACCAGAGACCTGCTGATCCTTATCAGAGACAACAACCAGATCCTTATGCTCGAGTTCAACCTATAGGTTACGATCCTCACTCTCATGTTCGAACAAATGGATTGCCCATATCTGGTGTTGGTGGAAAACCGTAAGAAATAAGAATATTAAATTGAACCGATCCTTGTTTAAAAGCCTTCCATTATATATTTTAAAGGGCTTATTCATTTCATATGAACGGCGAAGGTATTCTTCAACCCGTTCCTTTTCCTCCTGATGCGCTAAATGGCCCGGGAATTCCACGACAAGCCCGACAAATCAACACACTAACTCATGGTGAAGTAGTATGTGCGGTCACAATATCAAATCCTACAAAATATGCTTATACTGGCGGTAAGGGATGTGTAAAAGTTTGGGATATATCTCAACCGGGAAATAAAAGTCCTGTTAGTCAATTGGATTGCTTGGTAAATAAAAATTAAATGCATTGATTGATTTCATTCTATTAATAATTAAAAATCATGTACGCATTTCAGCAAAGAGACAACTACATTAGATCGGTGAAGCTTTTACCAGATGGTCGAACGCTCATTGTTGGTGGAGAGGCTTCAAATCTTTCAATATGGGACTTAGCAAGTCCAACTCCTAGAATAAAAGCCGAATTAACATCTGCAGCACCCGCATGTTATGCCTTAGCAATATCACCAGACTCCAAAGTATGTTTTTCATGTTGTAGTGACGGAAACATCGCCGTATGGGATTTAAATAATAACTCTTTGGTGAGACAATTTCAAGGACACACTGATGGAGCGTCGTGTATAGATATTAGCCCAGATGGTTCAAGATTGTGGACGGGCGGATTAGATAATACAGTAAGGTCATGGGATCTCAGAGAAGGGCGACAGCTTCAACAACATGACTTCAGTTCTCAAATCTTTTCTCTTGGATATTGTCCAACAGGTTAATTGTTTCATATCAATCCATTTAATACATAACATAAATTTTGAAATTGTTTAAAGGTGACTGGCTTGCAGTTGGAATGGAAAATTCACATGTTGAAGTTTTACACGCTACAAAACCGGACAAATATCAACTCCACTTGCACGAAAGTTGTGTTTTATCTCTACGATTTGCCACATGTGGAAAATGGTTTGTATCAACCGGAAAAGATAATTTATTAAATGCTTGGCGGACACCTTATGGCGCTAGTATATTCCAAGTATGTTAAATTCTATTCACACAATGACTAAAACATTTGTTCTAATTATTTCATTGTCTCTTTTAGTCAAAGGAAACATCATCTGTTCTTAGTTGCGATATTTCAACTGATGATAAATACATAGTGACAGGATCTGGAGATAAGAAAGCGACAGTGTATGAAGTTATATATTAACAGATAGAGAACATCGACGAGATTTCCTTGGAAATTTAATAACCGTTTACACGTCCTTGCAACTCGTTAAATCAAAAACAACAATCACTCGTATAATTGTATCTTTTATGAAAACAAGATCATCACCAATTACAAAAGTTCAACTGACCACTACATAAGTTGATAAAAAATTTAATTTTTTAGCATCTAATTAAATTGTGTAAATAAGAACTTATGAAAAAAGATTAAAACATTGTTAAAAAGAAACATTTTATTCTGTACAAAAATTCTCCTTTCCTTTTAATTTATGCTTTGTGTCAACAAGAGAAAAATTTTGCGCCAGAAAATAGACTTTTAGTGACTCATAAATATTTGTTTTGTCACGTAATAAAAATGCGAAAATTGAAGAAGTAATCAACGTGTTTTTTATTTTTCCCTATCACCTTTTGTACTATCAAAATTATCAAGAATATTAAGGTAAATATTAAATATTTAAACGATTATTTAAGGAATGCAATGTGAAAAGATAAGAAATAAATCTAAAAGTCTTTAATCTTAAAGAATAAATATCAACATTCGTTTTCAATTTTTTCGATTTACGGGGTTCCATCGTGACGAACCATTGTATTAAATAAATGCAAACCAAATAACTTGATAAAACGATGACTTAAGGCAGACAAAAATATTTCGTTGTATCGAGTAAACCGTTGTATTGAGTAAATAAAGTCTACTTGAAAAATAATACGAAATTCAAAACGGACATTTCCCTTCAAAGTTTTGTTAAATATGATTGAAGAAGTATTGAATGAAAACAACGAAAATAAGTGCAAAACTTTGGAGAACTATGAAACTCCTTAGAAAAATTGAAAAAAGAAAATGGAAAAAATTTTGGAAAACAAGGAAGAAAACAAAGAAAACTTCGAAATTCGATAGATATCTCAGACACATTTGAAATTCAAGTTTATTAAGCGATACACGAGACTTTTAAAACAAAAATCTTCTGAGAACACTCCACTGTTCATTTCTTCGCCCAACATCAAATATTGTAACATCGCATGGTCTCCATCTACAGAAAACAATTTGAAAAGAATCGATTCTATTCAAAGAAAATTTACAAAATTTGTTTGCAAGCGTATGATCCCTCAAAGAGATCACTGTTCGTATCTCAATCTTGAATCACTGGAAACTAGAAGAAAAAACGCTGGTCATTTATTTTTTGCGGATATTTTGAATGGTTCAATCGGCAGCAGTGAAATTTTGACATCAATAAACTTAATTACTATTGCGCTCTCATATGTCATGTTATTAAATTCAAAACCAAATAAGTAAGAAATAATCCCATTTATCTATAAAAATATTGAGAAATTTTCATATATGTTTCATAACAAATATATAAAAGAAAACTATTGAAATGCTATGTTTGATTTGATTGTTTTTAATTTATATTGTTAAAAGTTTGCCCATGTTATTTTTTGATGTTTTCAATGCTTTTTTTCATTTATGAAAACTTGACCATGATAATGAAATATACTATAGAAATGCCTTTTTGACATGATTTACATTTATGTACTTAAATTTGGGCTAGTAAGAATAAAGCAAATAATATTAATAATAATAGATAATTATAGAGATACTTATAGATACTTGTGCATAATAATTTCATAAAATAGTTTATAAATATAGTTACGCGCAAATTCTTTAATTGGAAAAGCAAATTGATACAAAATCGAAACCTAAACATGCTACAATTATTTGAAACGAAATTGTTTGAATTCTACCAAAACTTTTTTTCGATAATTGAGGCACTTTTTGTGAAAATGTTACATTTTCTTGGTATATTGTAACATTTTTTGTAGTGTCGTTAAAATGTGAGTTTTTCCTATCTTCATCTACTTTTAATGAAATTAAATCATTTCGTTGTTCACTATTTACTACATTCGAACAACTTTTCAATATTTCTTTCTTAACCAACTCAATACTTGCATTTAATTCAAAACTATTAAAGCAAATGTTTTCTTCAAACAACAAATATTTTAAATTGTATAAACTATTGAAAAAATTGTGACCAACACTGACAATTCTATTTTGTGAAAAGTCAATGTGAGTTAGCAGTGAATTATAAATGAACAAATCACCAGGCAGGTGCTCTAAATCATTTTCCGAAAAAATCCCCATTGTTAGTTTAGTTAGTGATGCAAAGTTATCTCTGTGTAACATTTTTAATTCACTGGAACTCACTTCTATTTCCGACAGATTTGGGAAAAACTTTTCTATTTTTAATGGAAGATTATGACATAAATTATGTTTTATGATGAATATTCTAACATCTTTATCCCGCTGACCAGGGTGATGAAGATTCGTCACAAAATCTATTGTTGTTGGGCTTCGAATTGTTACGTTTATTGCTTCACATGCATAAAGATATTTTGAAGGATTAGTTAAATCTTTCAAAAACTGAAAATTACAATTCAATGTGAAGGAATATATCAGGTTAGCCATCGAAGAAACAAAAACCATAATAATTTGAAAATGCCACCTGTTGATTATCAAAAATTTCTAGCACTTATTAAAAAGATAAATCCATACATTTTTTCACCTCATGTTTTCACACCTCAAATAGATAGGTATTTAAAATATAAATCAAAAATCCTGATTTTAGATATTTACGTTGAAAGCGGTAGAAGTCGACTAAATTGTGGCTAGTCATTTAACTAACATTGAATTGAATTAAATCATAAAAGTTCCCCTGTGTAGTGCGATCTATCTATTTACATAAATTTATTTGTCAAGGCAATAACATTAAGAAGAGCAATGTTGTTTAGAATTCTTGTCATTTTTTAGTAATGATTTTAAAATTAATGTCTATGAGTATATTATTTAATATTTTTATCTAAAAAGTTTATCTCATTTATAAGTAGATAATAATATTTTTTAATTTAGTATACATAGCAAGGTATAGCGTTGAAAATGGTTTAATTGAAATCAAAACAATTTTCAATATTCTCGCATGTATTTTGCTGCAAAATCATTGCAATGTTTAGTTTATTTATTTTGTTTCCTCCTTTATTTTCCTTTCCTTCTGCTTTTCGTTTGATTGACTTTCACTTAGTTGTTGAGTCTTTCGCAAATTTCATGTTTTCTATATTAGGTACTTAAAAGTTTTAAAATTTTTATCTCTATTTAGGTAATTTGAAACAGAATATTATGAAAAATTTTAAGCTTAAGCCAGGAATTCCGTAGACCTTTTTGTTACAATTTTGGAGCTATGTAGAGGAAGTTCTTTCTTGCAGAATAAATAATCGATGATGGAAAGAGAGAGAATAAAAGTCAGTTATTTACAAAACTAAACAGAAAGCATAAATTATGAACATCATTTTTGGCAAAAATTCATTCTGTTTTGATGTCTATCACTGCCATAAACAATTTGCTTCCAATTCTCTCCTGAAAGATACAGATCACGGGGTAATTCATCAATAAATTGACCGGCTAAAAAACTATTTTAAAAAAACCATTCAGCAAATTCCAATAAAAACTTATCAAAGTCTAGGAAAATGAACTTGGTTTCCATTTAGAGGCATCTGGCAAAAGCAGAACGATGAATTACCCCTTGATGCAGATTGATCTGCCTCTAAAAGGGGTATCCAAAACATAACAGGGAAAAAACGTAAATAAGGCAAAAAGTGACGAAAACATCACTTAGTGACAAATCCTGAAACGTGTAAACATTGAGTTTTGTGCATTATATTATTTATTGGTAGCAAGAGAACTAAGTGGTTTCTTAGTTTTTAAAATCGACCTATATTAATGGACCAAGAAACGGTGAAGAAAGAGCAAATGATGGATGACGAATTTGGCAACACGTCTATTCTTTTGGCAGCTCTTATTATTTTTATCACTTTTGGTAACAACAAATTAAAAATGAGATGCTTAAAAACAGTTTTATTTTTTCGATGTAATTTTCAGTGATGATATTTTTTATCAAACGCCAAAAAGCAAAAAGAAATGATATCGTGCTGACCGGAACATCTGAATCGGGAAAAACACTCCTTTATTCCTTAATTATCAGCGGAAAAGAAATAGATTCTTTCACAACGATAAAAGAAAATATTGGAATGCTGACGTTGAAGTCTAAAATTTATCAATTGGTTGATCTTCCAGGACACGAAAAATTACGTTTAAGATTGCTCGATTCCTATAAAGCTACTTCGAAAGCTCTTATATTCGTAATTGATAGTTCAACGATACAGAAGGAGATCAAAGATGTGGCTGAGTAAAAAAATTTCGAAAACTTTTTGTGTTTACATTTTTAAAAACTGTTTCATATTTATAGTTTTCTATACGCCATATTGGCTGACAAAGCTTTATCAAATATTCCCATATTAATACTAGGGAACAAGCAGGATGAAACGATGTCAAAAGGAAAATATATTATCGAACAAATGTTGGAAAAAGAAATGTAACAAAAAACTTGCTAGATAGCTTATATTGCTTTTTATATATTCAATTTTTTTTTCATCATAGAAATCTCATCCGAACTACGAAAACAAATCAATTAAAGTTTGAGGGTTCGCAAGAAACTATGAAATTCCTTGGAAGGCGAGATATGGATTTCAAATTTTCTCATATTTCACAGACAATAGCATTCGCCGAATCATCTGCTAAAAATAATAACATAGAAGAGTTGATATATTTTTTAAATTCAATTTAAATGTGAAAAGTTTTGTTTGATGGGTCGAATTAAACATAATTGGAAAACAAATTGAAATCTTTTTGAAATCTTGTGTATTAATTTTTCATATTGGAAACAACAATGTTCATCTTAAAATCAAATATTTTTTCATTATATTTTAACACAATAGCCGAAGAGGAATTTCCTCGTCAAGCAATTTTGACTATAAATTTCCTTAAAAAAGACTCATTAAAAAATTTCATGTCGGATGATTAATTTTAACTGAATCATTGTGTACTATCATTATTCACTTGAGGTTCCTCATCTGGCTCTCCTCTAGTGTTTTGATTCACATTTTCATCATTTGTTGAAGGAAGTGTAACATGAACAATTTCAGGAGGAGGTCGTCTGGAATATATTATCATTCCGAGAAAGATTGTGATGACAGTTATGAGATAAAGATCCCAATTCGATGAAATGTTCTCATCCAAACCTAACAATAAGTTAAAAAAACTGTCCTCACGCAATGATTCAAATTTATAGAAAAGTTGAAGTTTCAATAATGCAAGCACCACAGGTATTTTCGCATCTACATTTGTCTCAGCAGCAAGATCGTAAAATCTTTTTGCCAAATGAATATCTTTTTTCATTCCAAGACCTTTTTCATGCATATAAGCTAAGTTGAACATTGCTTGTGCATTATGTTGTTGTTCTGAAGCCATTCGATAATGCGATGCTGCTGTTTCATAATCAATTACTCCTGTACCAAGTCCATAGTAGTGATAATCTCCAAGCTTAACTTGAGCAGCTGAATATCCTTGTCCTGCAGCTCGTCCCCAATATTGTAATGCACGTAATAAATCCTCTTGTCGATTTGTGAATAGTTTTATTTCACTACGATCTAGAAGAAAAGCAGAATTGCTTTGCGCAACCTCATAGCCAAGCTCAGCTAGGAGACCATACTGCATAAAAGCTTCTTCATACTTGTAGCCTCGATAATCTTGATATGCGACCATTAAGCGTTCGGACCATTTGCCTCGTTCAGCAACATTTTTAAATAACTCGACAGCAGTTGGACATGATCTCATCATTCCGACACCTGAGGCATGCATTTGACCGAGATTGTAAAAAGCCAAAACATGACCCGATTGTGATGCCAAATTGAAATATTTATTAGCGAGTTTAAAATCGCGTTTCACACCTATTCCACTGTAGTACATGTTTCCAAGTTGTAATTGTCCATCTACCCATCCTTGATCTGCAGCTTGAGTGAAATATTTCAAGGCTTTTTCAGTGTCTCTGGGGACACCATTACCTTGTAAATACATGATACCAAGTCCACTCTGTCCCACAGGATTTCCCAGGTCAGCAGCTTTTTTGAAGAACTAAAGAAGCAGAATAAAAGTAAATTCATAAGTAAGATGTATGTTCATCAATTACCTTTAGTGCTGTCTCGTTATCAGCTTTGATATTTTCACTTCCTTCTAGATAAATTTTTCCTAAGAAAGCCATTGCAACAGCATTGCCAGCATTTGCAGCAGGAGTGAAATAAGTTAACGCTTTTCGATGATCGAGAGCAATGCCACGGCCACCCTGATAATGCAACTGACCTAAACCAACTTGTGCTTGAACATCACCTTTATTGGCTAATAATTCATAATAATCTATTAGATCATTGTCCAGAACACCTGAGCTTATTCCCGAATTTTCAATTTCATCAAGTAATCGCACACGATGAATTGCGGGACCGCCAGAAAATGTTACTTCTGATGCAACTTTAGAGGCGACTTTACGGTAATAATCTAGTGCTTTTTCACAACTATTTGGAACAGTTATACCTGTCCAATAACGATATCCAAGGATCATTTGAGCGAAAGGATTATCAGCTATTGCTGCTAATGTATAATAAACCAAAGCTTTTGATTGGGAAACATTATATCCAATTCCAGTTGCGAACATGAATCCCATTGCCATATGAGCTTCTGGTAATCCACTCTCAACAAGTTCTTCAAAAGTCTCTTTTGCTTTCTCTACATTTAGTTCAAGAGGATTGCCGAGTAAATGACCCCATGCAATTCTAGCTTTTGCTTGTTTATGTCCTTTCTCGGCTGCTTTCTGAAGCAGAACAAAACCTTCATCTCGATTTATGTGTTTGGTTTTATTAAGAATTACCAGTGCTTGTTCATAAAAATTTTCAGCTATAACAACAATTATCATTTATTAGAGATTTTCAACATAAGCTAATACTATAGTCTCACCTTCAATTTCTTCAGCTGTTTTTTCAGTTTTAACGTCATCAAATGATTCGCTATGATGTATTTCTTCAAGTTCTTCTTCAAATTTCTGTATCCATTTTTCTTGTGATTCCAACATCAATGAAAGTGTATCAGTTATCTTCTTACTGTCACTATCTTTAGACAGATCAGGAGCCCTTACCATTTTTATACCAGAACTTGGATAATTGAAATCACCAGCAAGAATTTTTACAAATCCATCAAATTCTTCATCTGATTCTTCCTTTGAATCTTCGTCCTTTTCTTTAGGATGGTTCAATTTTGGTTTGTCTTTAGTTCCAGACTTAGATTCTTGGAGGCTTTCAGAAGAACAGATAAATATTGAAAGTAACAGAACAAACACTGTAAATATTTTCATTTTCTTAAAAAACAAAACAATCTGATTTGCTTGTATAAGTTTCGGCGATTTTTTTCTCTTCCCCAATTAAGGACCTACGATGACGAATAATTTTGTATCGACGTGAAACTATAGATTGAATATTTTTTATCAAACTGATTACTATTTGAATAATTAATAAGCTGATATGATTCTTTTTATTCTTTATTTCGAACAAAAGATGATGTGTTGTGGAAATAGGGAAAATGTTCAAATGTGTTAGTGAGTGTGCATAATTTGTAGAGTTTTGTGATTTCTTTTGAACGATTCAGAGACTTCATAACTTAACAAGTGATTTTCAAAGAAATACAATTAGGTAGTAATAATCCTTATTTTTATTTTTGCGGTAATTGCAAAAAAAATCGTCAGAAATAATAAGCTACTAACTATAGAGCTGAAAATTTAAAACTGAGTTTATTGTGAAATATTATAAAAAAAAATGTCGCGGCGGTCATTTACAACCAAATTAACTAGGTATGACTAAATTTCCTTTATTTATCTGTAATTTATTATATTTCTGTAACTTTATGCTGATTAAAACCAAGGTATCAGAATGAATAATATGTGAAAGCTTAAAAAGAGTAATTCTAATATAAACTTATACTTAAAATCTGTCAAATTCATTAATAAACATTGCAATTCTAATAATCAGCCATTTGTATTCAAAGAAAAACTAAGTTAAAAAACTACAATCTTTCTACTATTTATCATTTTTCTTTTAGTTTTACTGCAGCAGAAGTTCGAAAAGCAGTTCAAACAGACCAAATCATCGCAACAAATAATTCCTTTTATTCATCGTCAATATCCTTAAATGACCTTGTTGATTCTCTGGATTTTGAAGATTTTCTTCAGCAAAAATCACAAACTTTGATAGTAAAAGATCCTTTACGTAACATTCTCGAATTTCCAACCAATGATGTAATTATTGTATCGACTCCGAGAAAAATACGTACAGAGAATTATGTTCTTCCAGAAGAATATGAAAATAAAAGTGACGACATTCCGGTTCAAATTTACAACTGCATACGAGCATTCACTAAACCATGGAAGTACGTGAAATTTGCTTGTCGTGATGATGTCTTACATGACAAATATGGAAAAAAAATAGATCCATTGTCTTATCATCATCAAGAGTATGAAATTGATTCTTGTATTTCATTCATATCATCTTTGGAAGATTCAACATTGATGAATGGGAGCTGCTCGAGTTTAATATCATCAACAGCCACCGATAAAACTTTATCCTGCAGAGATTCATGGGTTTCTGGATTTGAGATCGAGGAAATTAATCTTCGATCAGTTGCTTCTGATCCGCTTCTACCCATCTTGGAACGAGTGACAGTGGAAAAAACCGAAATCGAAAACGAAGACATAAGGAACAAAAATCGACTTCAAGATATATTCTCGCTTCAGTTACATGAGGAAAATGATAAAATTGAACGACGGTTACCTGCAGAGGTTCCAATGGAACATATCGGAAGCCGAATCTTGATAAAATTCCTTGAACTAAAATTTGACATAGAGATCGAACCAATCTTTTGTTCTGCTGCTGTTTATGATTGTAAAGCAAAGAAGAAAATTTCTGAAAACTTTTATTTCGATATGAATTCTGAATCGATAAAACACATGCTAAACTCTCATGTCGCTTATACAGATATCAGTACCACTAGCCGTTCTGCAGCCTTTGAAATTACTCACCCATCAAATGATCTATTCTTGGTGATTCGTTTAGAGAAAGTTTTACAAGGTTCATCGCAAGACTCCGTCGAACCTTATTTAAAAGAATACTCGAACATAGAAAAATCAAAGGCAAACGCTCTCTATTACACAGAACGTTTAGGAAAATATCGAGCACCATTTGGATTTACTGCATTATATTTGAATAAAATTTTTAAGGGTGATAATGGAGACGTAGAAAGCTTTCATTCGACGTCTATCAGTTCGAATAGTCTCGATAGAAAATCAAGTAGTAATTTCGATCAGTTTAAGAAAAAGGCAAGTGAAACTGTAACATCGATATCAAGACGAGGTTCACTCGAAAGACGAGAAAATCAAACATCAAGACAATCTTTTTCTCCATACGAAGATTTTTCGAATCAAATAGAAAGTTTCAAGCCAATCTCAATAACAATTTCGAGCTTCTTTAAACAGGAGTCTGAGAAAATGAAAGATGAAGATTTATTCAAGTTTCTTCCGGAACTAAAACGTCCAAATGGAATCATGAAAAAATACAAATGCATTCCAGGATCTATAAAAGTTGAAGTTGGTCCATATAATGATGGAGATGTAATTAATGCTTTAACACCTGAACTGGCTAAAGTAAAACCATACTGTACAGAAGAAAGAAATCTACGACCAATGAAGGAAGTACTCGAGTTTCCTTTACTTCCAATCTTTAATCCACATTATTCTTATCGCAATCTTCTTTACATCAGCCCAAAAGAGTTAAATTTCTCAACACGAGCTGGATCTGCAAGAAATATTGCAGTAAAGATACAAATAATGTCTGGTGAACAATCAAGTGATGCATTGAATATAATTTATGGTAAAAGCTCATGTCCTCAATTTCAATCGGAAATGTACACAATTGTCAATTATCATAATCGTAATCCAACATTTTATGATGAAGTAAAAGTTCAATTGCCACCAAATTTGAATCAAAACCATCATATACTATTCACTGTTTTTCATGTATCATGTCGGGCTGACAAAGCAGTTCAACATGCGACTGAAACTCCAATCGGATGGTCATGGATTCCACTTTTAATTGATGGACGTTTAAACATCGGAGAATTTAATCTTCCGATACTTCTTCATGAACCACCTAAGTCATACTCTTTCATCACACCTGACGTGAATTTGCCGGGCACAAAATGGCTTGATAATCATAAACCGCTTTTTAACGTGACATTAGACTCTTATTCGACAGTTTACACAGAGGACTCCTATATCTGCAAATTTTTCTACGTTGTACAATGTCTTGAGAGTAAAAAGATTCCACCGCATATTGGCTCCGAGATGAATATGGAGAAAGAATTAAAGAAATCGATTCACGACCTCCAATGTTCCGATTTGTATGCTTTAGTAAAGAATCTTCAGCTTGTTATGGATAAGCTCCTAGAAATGCTTATTCACACATACACTATAGGAAATCACGTCATGTCAATTCATTCAAATGTTTTCGAAGCTATTTGCTTGATTGCAGACAAACTTTTTATTCTTCAACAAGACACTCAAGCATCTTCCTATGGACGACAAGCAATTCTATCTACTTATGTTCAATATCAGGCAACAATTCTACATCCCACAGCAAAGAGTTCGTCACTTGAAACTAGTGTTGGTGATGATGAAGATTTATCAGCTGATAAAGTTGAGTCATCAAACAACGAAGTTTGTCGATTACTTCATGAGGAAATTGCTTTACATTGGGTTGTTGCTAATAACACTGCAGCTGAATTATCATTGACGAACTCTTGGATGCTTTTTGAGTTAATAATCAAAAGTATGATAGAACATTTAGATTTTAACAATACTTTGAATGCTCCGCGCAAGAATCGTTTCTCGCGGCAATTCACTGATGATGTTCAAACTCTTGTTCATATGATTGCAACAAAAATTATCGGATACCACAACTCGGATAAAAATCTCGCAATGAGCTTAAACAATAGTCTAGCTTTCTTCATATTCGATTTGTTTAATATTCTCGACCGAGGTTTCGTTTTCATGCTTATCAAGAATTTCTTAAAAGTTATGACAACGAAAAGCTCTGCAATTGCAGAAGTTAATCACTACAAGCTTGACTTTCTTCGCATTGTTTGCAGTCATGAACATTTCATTGCGATGAATTTACCATTTGGAACACCGTTTACATATAATAATTCAGCACCATGTTCACCGACTCTAAGTATAAAATCAAGTAACAGCCAACAATCGGCAATAAGTTCTTCAGGTCCCACAAACCAAGAAAAATCAGCATTTGCCGATCTTTCTGTGGATTTCCGACAACAACACTTTCTTATCGGTCTCATGTTGACTGAGATTGCACACGCTTTCGAGATGCAAAACCAGTCATTACATGGCCGTGCGATTCGTTGTATTAAAAGCCTTATGACCTCACATGAAGTTGATTTTCGCTATAGGTCCAAGGAAGCTCGTTCAAGGATTTCTGCTTTGTATCTCCCGCTGTTAAATATCGTAATGAATGCTCCCTTGCACAACTTCAAGCAAGAGCATTATCTTCTCGATGATTATCAAGGTTCAACAAATGTTGGAGCAATTAATCCGGAAATCTTTCAAGCCATCTCTGGAAGTCATCTTTATACAATAAACTCCGACAACATGAAACAGGCTAAAGCTCAATTAAACGAGAGTCACACCAAAGATCTTTTACTTTGCTTCTTGTGGGTTATTAAGAATTTGGAGAATTCTGTTCTATTGAAGTTCATAACATGCCTACCGCTGCAAAAAGTCCACAGATTCCTTCAAATTCTCAACAATTGCATTCCTTGTTTTGAGTATCAAGGAAGAGTTAGTAACAACAACGAACCGACATCAGTTGGTCAAAAAAAATCTCAAAGTTTCCGTAAAACGTCTGATTTAAAAGAGAAACTTGAAGATATCATTCGTGGAACTGGATCTGCAAGAAACGAATTAATAAACCGTCGAAAAGAAGGAGGAAATACAAATGAAAAGTATCGTTGGCGTAAAGATCAGTTCTTCAATAGACCATCTCGAGAAGGATCAGAAGCTTTTGGAAGAGATTCGTTTGCTAAATATGAAGAACCAGATGCAATTTATATTGCTGGTTCATTGGCTACAGAAATTTCATTAATTATATTAGATACATTAGAAATTATCATACAAGTAGCATCGACATGTGAAGTTCATAACAATTTATTGGGTTCGGTATTGAAGATATTGCTCCACGCACTATCTCGCAATCAAAGTGTTCATGCTCTGATGAATCTTTTCGCATCGCAAAGATCCTTCGTAAATAAGTTTCACAATTTACTTTTTGATGAAGAAAGTGATAATTGTGCTGATCTTTGTCTGCTTCTTTTAAAACATTGCGGATCATCATTGTCAACTGTAAGATCGCAAGCGGCTGGCTCTCTTTACTGTCTAATGCGTCAGAATTTTGAATTTTATGGAAATAACTTTTCAAGAGTAAAAATGTTGATCACTATTTCGCTTTCATCTCTCGTGGGTGGAACAAACTTCGATGCAACTTTCAGTGAAGCTTCACTTAGACGATCTTTAAAAACTGTTTTAGTTTATGCTGAAGAAGAAAATCAAGAGTTACAAGAAACAACTTTCCCCGAACAAGTCAAAGATTTGTTGTTTAATTTGCACATGATTCTATCTGACACTGTGAAGATGAAAGAGTATCAAGAAGATCACGAAATGCTACTTGACTTAATGAATAGGATAGCAAAAGGATATCAAAATTCTCCCGATCTTCGACTTACTTGGTTGGAAAATATGTCAAAAAAACATATTGAACGATCAAACTACACTGAATCAGCCATGTGTCATATTCACATGTGCGCTCTTGTCGCAGAGTATTTATACATGTTGGAGTCACAAACTTATCTACCCATCGGTGCTGTTTCTTTTCGACATATAACACCAAATGTTCTCTCTGAATCGGCAGTTTCTGATGATGTTTTGAGTCCTGGTGATGACGGAATTTGCATGGGAAATCGTTTTACTGAAGCGGGTTTGAAGAACTTATTGGAAGTTGCTGCTGAAAAATTTCAAATCGCTGGAATGTACGAAGCAATGAATAATGTTTATAAAATTCTAATTCCAGTTTTAGAACATTCAAGGTAGATGTTGTTCAATATTAGATTTTCTTTATCTAGAAATTTTATGATACATCTTTTTTTTCAGAGAATTTCAAAAGCTTGCAAAAGTTCATGGAAAGTTACAGGAAGCTTTCAATCGTATCCATCAACTAAGTGGAAAAAGAGTATTCGCAACATATTTTCGTGTTGGATTTTATGGTCCCAAACTTGGTGATCTAGATCAAAACGAATACATTTATAAGGAACCTCCGTTCACAAAACTTCCTGAAATCTTTAACCGTCTTCAAATGTTTTATGAAGAACGTTTTGGATCAGAAACTGTCGTTATCATAAAGGATTCTAATTTAGTTGATGTTTCTTCATTGGATCCTGAAAAAATATATATACAAATCACCTTTGTTGAACCATATTTTGAAGCGTTTGAGTTACGCCAGCGTGAAACTCATTTTGAACGAAATTTTAATATTAACCGTTTCATCTTTTCAACACCTTTTACAAAAGCTGGAAAAGCTCATGGTGAACTGCATGAGCAATATAAGAGAAAGACAATCTTAACGACAAATAGTCATTTTCCTTCAGTAAAAACCCGTATTCAAGTCATACACCGTCAACAACTCATTCTGGAGCCTATTGAGGTTGCAATTGAAGATATTCAGAAAAAAACTGTCGAATTAGCAGCAGCAACAAATCAAGAACCAGCAGATCCAAAAATACTTCAAATGGTATTACAAGGTTGCATCGGTACAACTGTTAATCAGGGACCAATGGAAATGGCCCTTGTTTTTCTCTCAGGAATTGCTGATGGTCAGGTAGAAATCACCAAAGAACAGAACAAACTTCGCCTTTGTTTCAAAGATTTTACCAAAAAGTAATTAGCTTTAAAATTGTTTTCACTTAATTTTTCTTATGTTTTTAATCTAATTTACAGATGTAATGATGCTCTCAAGAAGAACAAGAACCTTATAAGTAATGATCAAAGAGACTACCAAAAAGAGCTGGAGAGAAATTATTTAAAGTTTACGGAACGTTTAAATCCTCTGATCAATATAACCCGTACATATCCGTTAAGGATAAGCAGCAATCGAAATAACAACAAATCTTATTTAAGATGGTAATGAAAATCTAAGCTCTTAGATTAGAAACTTCAATAAGAAGTTAATTATTTAAAAAATTGATTCAACATTTATAAACTATTTGAGATTCAAAATGTATTTAATTATAAGCTGATCTTATATTATTATTAGTTTAAGTAACATTTAATCTTAGTAACAACTAAGACATATTTTATGTGTGTCACTTGATTTAAATATTCACGCACCTTTAAGCTAGAAACCGATTCATTCATAATTTTATTATCTTTGACTTTTTGCAATCGTTTGATATTTAAGTCTTCTAGATTAAGATTTTTGAGTATTTCTCTGAATTGTACTGAGTCTTGCCCTGATCTCTGCAAATAAAAAATAATTTTTATTTAAAAGTACTCTAATATTTTCAATTTCTATGATATGAATTTTCTCGAATGCAATGAAGAAATGTTATTGCGCAAAAAAGAATTTCGACTCACGAAGTTGATTTCGCTCCAGCTACATATATAAATAAAAAGATGAAATAGAATAATTTTAATCAGTGGAAGTTCTAGAAAAACTTGTAATCCAAAATTTTCAAATAATTTCACTTAAATGTTCATCATTTTATTTCATTACTTCAGCAAGAAAGTTGAACTTATTTAGGTAGATATTTAATAATAGAAGTAAAAAATTAATGTCAAAGAATATCGATTGAAAAATTTTAAATAACCTATTTAGGAAAGTAAATATTATTTAGATATATATATATATATATAATTGATTTTTTAATCATTTAATAATTATTAATTAAGCTCTTTCCTTCATCGAACTTCATACAAGAGTGTTACGATTAGATGAAACTTTTTTTTAGAAACATAACAACTTTTAATTGAATAGATAGTTTGTAACGTAGATCAAGCATTATAATGTTTATAATTTTTTATTTATCTGCAAATATAATTATAATGGAATTTTCGATTTAATAAATGAAAAAAATTAAAGGATTTTACATAATCTTTGCATTTTAGAAAAAGAAGAAAATTAAAAAAATATTTTTTAATACATCAAAACGAGATATATGAATATTAATCATCTTTAAGAAACATGCATATCTTATTCATCATAATAATGAAAAACAATTTAACTTAAGAGCTTCTGGGGTTCTTAACGAGATGTTACAAAGAAATATTTGAGGTTTATTGAAAGTAAATCAAAATATTTAGTACTTTTACATACATTTTTTATCATTTTAATAGATTAGAACTCGTATGAAATGATCTTTGTCGTTGATCCAATTAAATCTTCATCTTTTACTATCTTTGTAACATTTTAAATATTTTCTTTTTCAAGACATGTCTATTCTTACTTTCTAATACATTTTTTTACTGTTTCGTATTAGTTATTCATGTCAGGTTTTGTGCTGGAATTAGTGACTTCATGGCCAGTTGACTCAGCTGTTTGAGATGAAGTCATCACTTCATCGCAATTGCTGATAGTCGCAGTTGGTTTTGAGGGTGATTGCGGACTATCGTTATTGAATTCAAAAAGCGATGACGATTCCCCAATTATTTGCAATGGAGCTTCTTTGGAAGCAATCGAAGGCTCTTCTTCTTCTTCGTTTTCTCCTTCCTCCTCATCTTTATTTGATATTTTCTCTCTGCCATCAATGTCAAAAGCATGCGCTTGAGCTTTTGATCTTGTCGCTTCATGATGCGGACTATCTTCTTCCGTAAACAATCCCATATTAGTTTGATCATTGTTTACTACAACAGGTGAACCTTCATAACTAAGAGGATCTTCTGCAATTGTTTTCACGATGGGAGAATTAATTAATGATGCTCCTTGAACAAGATGAGTTGGCATTTGAGCATTTTGCTGAGCTAATGTTAGAATGTTGGATGCTTCAAGTCCACCGGAAATCGCACCGGATCCGCTATTTGAAAGGGACTTTCGAGATTTTTCCGACTTACGCCACAGTGTAATTTCCTGTTGCTTAAAGTACCGCCGTTCTTCAGTATCCATTAACACAAGGTTAAGGAAATAGCGAACAGAAAACTTTTTGTTGATATCTCGCATAGTTGGAGTTAAATCATATCCAGCCAAAAATACGCGAATTGGAATACTTTCGCCTTTGACGGGAGCTCCGTCCATGATTTCATATTTTGCTATAGTTTCATTTTCTGTAAACACATTGGAACCTAATAGAAAAAGCAATTCTCAATATTTATATCACACTTTAAAATAATTCATGTTGCATACCAGCTCCAGTTGTTTCCCTTTTAATTATGGCAATTTCCATATGCTTAATTTTGATTCGAACAAGCAAAAAATAAATTTTTCCAACAATGACATCTTTCAAGTGATACTTTGACTTGTTATACTCAAACTCTATATGTAAACAGTCTTCAATTCCCACTTCCATTTTAATAGGGCTATTTAATTCCGGATAACTGCTGAGTGTGTGTACAGCTATGTCAACTTCACGAACAATATCACTGATACGCCGGACAATGGTGACACGAAGAAAATATCTAATGAAGTAAATAACACCGTGTTTTACAAACATAAATTTAGAGTAAAAACTAGATTTTTGACAGAACCTTAAGCGAACATTCGATCCTGTGTACACTTCAAAAGGTTTCTCAACATTCGCAAAATCAAAAGGATAGCTGGTGTTTTTAATAAGGTCTCCATGTCTTGCAAGCTCTTTTAATTGCGCCAGGAACTCATGATGATTACCACGATCGTAGAATAGTTCAATTTGACCTGAATTTTTTTTTATGTTTACTAAGTAGTTTATTTAAAATTATTTAAACTCACCTATCAGTTCAATTTTAATTCCTTGATGTTCTAGTTTTGTTCCAGGTTTTTTAAGTGTTACATTAACCTATGGATTGTTTATATGCAATTTTATTAATAACTAGCAATCTTTTGAAATACAACTAAGCAATAATGATAATTAATCATTACTCACAATGAATGCTAATTTGCACACAAAGATATGTACATGAATAATTTTCACAATTAAATAATTAAGTAGTGATGGAACTTGAAGAAAAATGCCCTTTTTTTAAATACATTTTTTATTCAAGGATCATTGTTGGAATTAAGATAAACTGATTTATTTTTCGAATGCTCGCAACAATTTTTTTTAGCATTGCTTGCTATGATTTAGACAATATTCTATATACGGTACTAACCTTTCCTGATATTGATTCACCATCGTAATACAATAAGAGTTTTTCTTTCTTGCCACTTTCATCTATTCGACATTCTGCGTATTTCCGATTTTCGCTATCATTAAAAACGATGTCAATTTCAGCTGATTGCCCAAATCCCAAGAAGTTCTGAAATGAAAATAATTATCAAATAATTCTTTAACAGCATGAATCAATGAATTAATCTTACCATAATTAATGCCGGCTTGAATGACAAAACAAAACAAAAAATATTGAAATTTATATAGAAGAGATATCTGACATACAAGTTTGAAATGTTTGAAAGTCTAGACGATAAAGAGCGCTCGAGTTTCGAAATAAAAAAAATGTCTGATGAAGTATCAAATTATAAGTTTTAAGAATACTTTTACAATTTTTTTACTGAACTGTATTTTTTTTAAAGTTGGTACCTAACTCAAAATTCCAATAAAATTTTTTAATTCTTTGGTACAGGTGTAAAAGTTTTGTGACTTTTTATTTAACATGGAAATTGAAAAGATCATGCCTATTTATTTTACCAGTACTGAAAAAAAGGATTCGATAAAATTTGTAAGCATAGTTTAAGAAAGGAAATCAAGGATAGGTCTACATAACAGAAAAAGTTAGGTTTGTCGATCATCGTAGTAACAGACGTTCCGTCAAATAAAAACAATACTTTTTTCACAGTTCTACTCTCTATAGTTCTTATTCTGAACACCGATATCGCTACTGTTTAGTTTTCATGAAATGTTTCGAAGTTCTTATATGTAACTCTTTCATAAAAATTAAAAAATAAATTTAAAAAAATATTGAAGATCATTGAGAAATTGGAAGCTAATGAAATATTACTTAAGTGCAAAAGTGAAATGATATTCGTGTTAAATGAGAGAAAAACCTTGTGAGTACAAATTTCACCTGTCGTGAAGAATTAGTACGGATTCAGTAGATATTCCCCCATAGTGCGTGCTCACGGAATGTTAATTTTTTAATAATATCCAATCACCAAATCAATAAAATAAGAACAGATTCTTATGTTAAATAGTTTTATGATATCAAGATCTTTCTATAATTGCTCCATAATGACCGAAAAGTCATTGAAATGTGTCTTGAGAAATAATCCGTGCTATGAAAAAAAAAAGAGTTTTTCTCAGTGAAAAAAGAAAAGTAATGAAAATTTATAAACACGCGTGCGCAATAGCGTAAAAAATAAAATATTTACTTTTGCTCCCAATGTCCCTTACACTAAATTAACGTACAGTAGACATTTGTACTTCTACGTACAAAAATGACTATATACAAGAAATCATTTAATAAACTTGTTTTATATCGACAATATTTGATGCATGGAATGCATGTGCATAACTATAAGTTTACAAAGAAAGCTCGATAAACAGATCGCTCGATGAACAGATAAGCCTCTAATTATTATTAATTAATGTGATTTAGATATAATTAGAACACATTCGATGAACTAATAAGCTCGACGAACTAAGTTTTTCTCACCTCTTAGAACAATCAAACTTTCACTGTACCATAAATATAACTTGAAATAAATGTTCTCTAAAATTTAAGTCGAATGCTATCCAAAGAAAAATGAAATTTATAAATAAATAAATCTGTTTATATCTAGATAAATACTTAAGTAGGACGCAATCAAGCGTTTTTGAGTATTTGCCTGCTATTTGATGATAATTCTATTTTAATTAATGATCACACATTGATCATTACATCACCCATTGACCACATTGGTTTCAACCTGATGCATGTTTTTGTAACAGTTTAAATTTGTCATTCGTTTTATTGAATTGTATAAAAAGTTACCTACCAGATAATTCAAAAATTAGTCTTGAGAGCCTTGGAGAATTGATAAAATGAATCATCATAAATGTTCAGATTTGCAAGTGATTTTTAAAAGCTTTCACAATGCAGCTTTGCTCTCGCTCTGCTTTTATATAAATTCGGAAAGTGATTCCGATTTTTGGTGAGCGTGTATAATTCATCAGAGTAAGGATAATGAAAACGGAATCTAATAAATAATTACTTTTGGATATTTTTGTGAGTGCAACCAATGCAATCTTTTAAGAGATAAATATTTAATCTTATTAATATTTATCTAGTGAAGATAAGCAATAAATCATTCAAGGCTTCAATAACCTGATGAACATTAACTATCCTTTGGCAGCGGATATAGTTCCTAAAATATTTAGTAAAGCTCAAATTGTTTAGATATATTTTTCCATATGGTTAATTTTAAATTAAATTGGAAGATCATGTACTGGATTACAGTTTGAAACAGAAATAGTAATAGAGAACATTTTTGACTTAATATTTTCTTCCTAATTTCGTTCCTGCATGCATAAAGAAAATATTTTCAAAGCATGACTAACTTATTTTTACAATATAGAAAAGTATAAAATTAATAATAAATAAATTTCTCAATTTATAATTAATAGATTAAGCGACTACTAAGAGGGATGACATGAAGTACTGATGTGTTAAATCACCAACGTTAAAACTTCTTACATAAAACATTTAGGAATCATTCACCGTGAAAAAGGATTGACAGAATATTAAATACAACGACTTTAGAAAAGAAACTTTAATCATGGCTAATCTGGCGAGCACACGTTTTTCAGATAATTACGAAATTAAGGAAGAATTGGGAAAGTCAGTAATTTTATATAAAAATGGAAAATTCATTCGCAAATTATTTCATAAATACATATTAATTTTAGGGGAGCATTTTCAATTGTGAAACGTTGTGTTCAAAAATCAACAAGCTTGGAGTTCGCTGCAAAAATAATCAACACAAAAAAATTAACTTCCAGAGGTATTCAAAAATCTTCTCAATAAAAATACTGTCAACTCTTAATATAACATATCTACTCTGAAAGGACTAGAAAAAAATTTTTTACCACAATATATTAGGAACATTTTGCTCCAGATTTTAAGCCAGATGTAGTTTACTATCAAGAGTATGTCACATCAAGAGTTGACAGTCAACTAATAGAATAAACTATCTAGATATTTATGTATTGAATTTCTCCTTACAGATTTCCAAAAATTGGAACGTGAAGCTAGGATTTGCCGAAAATTACAGCATCCGAATATTGGTTAGAATTATAGATATTAACGGAAACTTCACCGTTGGGAGACAGAATCGTGCGAATTCCGATATTTAAATGTCCGGCTATTTTGTATTAAATGTGCTATAATAAGGGGCCATTATGTATTAAATGTGTCTGGAATATTGAAGGTGTAAACAATTTATGTAAATGTTTCAGTTTAAATTTTAGTGAAACTGTTTGACTAGAAATTCTATAATAGCCGGAGTTTTAATATCGGGCTTTGCACAACCGACTTTTCATAGTCAATTCATTAATTTTTATATCTTTTATATGATCATAATTTAGTGAGGTTACATGACAGCATTCAAGAAGAGAACTATCATTATCTTGTTTTTGATCTGTAAGTTTTTTATTAATTCTAAATGGAATTTTTTTAATGAATTTAATGAGCTGTAAGAGCTCATTGAATATTTTTTATTGTAAAAATTCTTTATATGGAAATTTTTTCTTCTATATGCATAGGTACTTAGTATTATAATCGAATATTTCTTATTATTTGTACACTTCAGAGTCACTGGGGGTGAACTGTTTGAAGATATTGTTGCCAGAGAATTCTATTCGGAAGCTGATGCTTCTCACTGCATTCAACAAATTTTAGAATCAGTTAACCATTGTCATCAAAATGGTGTTGTTCATAGAGACTTAAAACCAGAAAATCTCTTATTAGCTAGTAAGGCAAAAGGAGCTGCTGTAAAGTTAGCTGATTTTGGATTAGCAATTGAGGTTCAGGGAGATCAGCAAGCCTGGTTTGGTTTCGCTGGAACACCAGGTTATCTCTCACCTGAAGTATTGAAGAAAGAGCCATATGGGAAAGCTGTCGATATTTGGGCTTGCGGCGTTATTCTTTATATTCTGCTTGTTGGTTACCCACCCTTCTGGGATGAGGATCAACATCGACTTTATGCGCAAATCAAGGCTGGAACTTATGATGTAAGTAAATGCATTTTCAATGAATGTAACAAAAATAGTATTTACTTATCTATTAAGAGAAAAAAAATACTAAAACCAATATAGCTTGCTATATAGATTACGTTGCTTTACATTTAAATATGAGAATAAATATCATAATTGATCGAATAAGTATTTATTTAATATAGTATCAAAACATTTTCAAAAATTTATCGTTTTGATAGAAAGTTAGATTGGATGTAAATTATCAAAATGGTGTTATGTATCATTGTTTGGCAATGCTGAACTTTTATAATGGAAAAATTCGACTTATTGTGTTACTAACAATAATAATGTATAATTTTTGATACTTTGAAGTATCTTCTGTCAGTAAACATTAGCGAGAGTCATATAGAAATTAATTTAGAGATCTTTATTTTCAAATTTCAGTCTGAAATAGAGTATTTGATTATAATTTCAAATTTCCTTTGTTAACAGTATCCATCACCTGAATGGGATACTGTGACCCCAGAAGCTAAAAATTTGATCAACCAAATGCTGACTGTGAATCCATACAAACGAATAACTGCTTCAGAAGCTTTGAAGCACCCTTGGATCTGCGTAAGTTATCCTTCTTTTTTTGAATATTTTTCTCTACTTAGAATACGGAAATTTTTATTTTCTAATCACTTTAGCAACGAGAACGTGTTGCGTCAGTTGTTCATAGGCAAGAAACCGTTGACTGTTTGAAGAAGTTCAATGCGAGACGAAAACTAAAGGTGAATTTGGCGAATTTAAAAAGATATTAAAAAAGAAACTAATACCAATTTTTCCTCCTAAAGGGTGCTATTCTAACCACTATGTTAGCAACTAGAAATTTTTCGAGTAGGTTTCTTTCAAAAAAGTTTTTATATCCTGATATTTTTTCATCAATACGTTTATTTAATATGTTTAGGTAAAAGTATGATTACGAAAAAAAGTGAAGGATCGCAAGTTAAAGAAAAAGAATCTACTGACTCAAGTACAACCATTGAAGATGATGATGTGAAAGGTTAGTGCAAATTGATTTTTAAATTAAGATAATGAAAATGGCTAAGTATTTTCGAAGAGAACCTATATATGTTGATATTTTTCTACAAATTTAAATTTCATACCAAATCACTCATATGTTAAGTCTTTTTATGCACATAATGTAGTCAAGCATAATATTGCAGAATATTAATAATTATACATAAATCTTACACTTAGTTTAAATTAACTTTAAAAAATCTATTCCTTCTGATTTAAAGATCTAATTAATAGAAGATCTTCAAAAATTGATTCTGAATTTACCATAACCATTATTTGTCTCATGTTTTTGAAAAATTCATAAGCTCTGAAAAATTTAATTCAAACCAGCAAAATTGAGTTTTCTACTTTACTTATCAATTGATTAATGTCTCATTAAAAAAAATATCAGATATTTATGATGATTAGTAATTCAACTTTACTATATTTTGATATGTAGTTTTGTTCACAAATCATAACAACTTATTTAGCTAAATCACATTAGAATCAGCTCTATTATATGTTCTTTTATAAATATTATGACTTTAAAAGTCTTTAGACTTAATTTCTTAAGATTGGAAACACATGAAAAAATAAGCATAACGATAACTTTTTCTGCTAAATTTATATTTCCTGAAAGTTCTATCAAGTTGGCAACTCTTAGATTTTTTATTATTTGTTTTTAATGTTTCCGTGCTTGAAATTACTATTGATATCTTTCTTAATATTTTCTAAACTTGGCTAAGTATCACTAAGTAGTAATTAAAATCTATTTTACTTAGTTTTATGTTTATTGCATCATCGTTTTTCGTTACTGAAATACATTATTTAGATAACATCCCGAAAAGCACAACCAGGCGCTTATGTTTTCAAATCATCCATAGTACTGTCCCTTTCAATTAGATGGGAGGTAATTCTTTACTTTCAGTCATATTCAGCCTTTCAGTTGCACTAACTTTTTGTGGAAAACTTATGTTAGCATCTTAAGACAGTCACAACAACTTGTACTTGAAACGTAATCCCTTATCAGATTGAAAAATAGATCTGATCTTAATATATCAGTGACTGGATTGGCACTTGAAGAAAAATAAGCGAAAAAATTGATTAAAACTTAAAAAGATGCCATAAGTAGATAAAACAGAAAAATCAAGTTGACATCTCAGAGTTAGATTTATGCTATGCTTATTTTTTATTGCATTGCCTATGGAATTGGCATCGAAAACGCATGTGTGTGCTACTCGGGTATATACTTTTGCAATGGTATAGTCCAAATGTGAATATGGCTCATAGTAGAGTAAAAAGATATCTATGATCTTCAATGCTTATTGAAATTAAAAGAATTTAATTTCATATGCAAATTTGGTTCTAATAAAGATATACTTAACAACTTATCAACTCAATTTTCTACACAGCACAAAATTTATGTCAGTAGGAAATTTTGTTTCATATGATTTATCTGTTATTTTCAACAAATATTTCCTTATTTACAAAAATCAAATATTTTGTAACGCAATAACTTTTTTTTTGATACTTATCCCCTACCACTATGAAATTGTCTAAAGATGATAAAAAAGGAGGCGTGGATAGAAGTTCAACTGTCATAGCTAAAGATCCTGAAGGTAAAATTTTTCATACATATTGAATTATGAATATCTGATTTGCAAAATATTTCACTGAAAACATTTAACAGCAGAAAATATCAATTAGATAGTAATTTTTCTTAACAATGTGATTATGTTCCGCTTAAACAATGCCATTGAATTTTTGAAAAAAATTGACATCATACGTATTTATTTCATGGGTGAACTCTCTGGACAAGATTCTTATTGAATAATTAAGTATTTGAAATCATTTCTCAAATATAAGGATTCAATATATAGGATTCAAACTAAACATTGCAAAATAATTATGTAAAGATTATTCCATTCCTTTTTATTGAAATCTAAACATATCTCTGAAGTTTCTTTTTTTCCATCTTCTAAAATATTCTTACAAAGGAGTAGATAGTTTGAATTTTCTCAAAAATTTCAAAGTGAGACAACAAATGAAAGTGTACACTTTCATTAATCTGTAAATAGCTTTAAAATATGCAATCAATATTTTATCAAAAGGTTTTCACATTTTGTTCATTTAAATTAATTTATTATCAATTTTTTTTCCAAATATTATGTATGATGTTTATGATTAATTTTTTTCTTGGAATCCTTTTTTTATTTTGCCATCTTTTTTGAACTTGCATAAATCTTTAATCTAAATTATTCTTACTTAAAAATATATGATAGAATGTCAAGGCAAATCAACGAACCCAACAGTTGGTCTTATTGGTTCATCACTTATTAATGTAATGCCTGTAATAGGTGGTGTAGCATCAAACTCATTATTATGCGGAAATGATTCAATTCCGAGCAATGATCATATAAAGATGCTAAGCACTCCAGGAACGAGTGCAATAACAAGCTTAAACAATATTTTTGCTGGTGAGGTTAATAAAAAATCTTCAAAAAATTCTGCACCAACTCTACCAACAACTCTTGAACCATTCGCTATAAAGTTCCACTCAAATTCGAAGGAAAATATTTCAATTGAGTTTATTCAAGGTAGAATTTGCTGTTATATGGGTTTTTAATGATGCGTGTGGGTGTGTGTTTACTTTGTCAATACTTTTGATAAAATATTGAAAAAACAAAACTAAATTATGAACTATTTTCAGTGTGGAAGTAATTTTTATCTCACAGCCATTAAGATTCTTATTGCTTTTGAATCCCTGAAAGCTTATACATACATTGTACATTCATTGCACATTATAAATCCATAATTTTTAATTTGATATCTAATAGTTAGAGTTAACGCAAAGGATTAAAAAGAGTTTGTTGTGTAAATAAAAAAAACGAAACTTTAATGCAAAACTGAATACATTTTCGATTACAGTATAATAATGCTAACATTTACTAAGGCACAAAAAGAGTTGTTACAAGAATATTTACAATAAAGAAATATTTAACAAATAAGACACGAAACATTGCTAGGTTTATAAGTTTTTTCTCTTCGAGTTTTTTGTTTTGAATTTTACGATTTCAAAAAAATCAATTTATCAAGAATTGATTTATCTTAACAGAAAGGTTATGCAACGCAAACTTTCGCGGTACGAGAATCAAACGTGAACACTTTAACGTGATCATATCGAATCGAATTTGGTCATATTGCTCAATCGGTCTTGGTCAGTGTTTAAACTGTTTTTAAAAAATAGTTATATAAAATAATTAAAAAACTATGGGAAATTTCGATAGCACATTTCACTTTATTTTATTGAATATAATTTAAGTTTAGGATGTTCTTCAGATAGATATTAAATTCGATGAAAATAGAATGTTGTAAAGTATATTGTAAGAGGTGTAAACTCATGAAACAGATAACCACAATTGATTCGTGTCAAATTGATCTATGACTAAATTCAATTATTTTCTCTACATAGGTCCAAGTCAAAAACAAATATAAAGACATTATCTAATATGTACGAAAATAAATTTTTATTAGATTTCAATGATTAATTCTGAAATGTTTGTACCGCTAATAAAGGCTTTCTATAAGAAATCATCGAATTGATATTTAACTTTCATTTTCTGCTCTTTTCAAATTTGTTATCAAAATGTCAAAAAAAAATTATCTCAAATAAGACAATCTCAATATGCTTGACAATATGCATCTTAAGAAAAGTGGGTCTGTTGGGAGTCTTCTTAGTGTTGAATCAATATTTTCGGGTAAGATAAAAAAATTATTTTTTGCTGATTCTCCCTTGCAAATACCTTTTTTTTATTTGCTCTTTATATCATATTTGTTCTTCAAGAAAGAAAAAAGTATTTTGTTATAGATTCCAGAACCTTGAAAATATCGTGACAATCTTATCTATCATCTATTATATTTTTAAGCTTATTCTTCGAGAAGGCACAAGTTAAAAAATAAGAACAAATTTAAGATGATAGATCAAAATTTTCCCTTTCAACTTCTTTCAATTTTATTTTACATTTGATAAATTAAATACGTGTTATTGTGAACTTCAGATGATTCCGACGTTGTTTATCGTCCATTAGGACATCGAGAAAATAGACATTTTTGGAATAATAATGGGGGTGAGTCTTTATAAGTATAATACCAAAGCAATGTGGTATCGCCTAGCTCACAACCCAGATTCCGACTTGCTCGTCCCTCATCTAGGTAGCTTGATGCTTTATATTGTATCCATATGGACGTTTCTCTTGTAACAATCATTTTTCTAATTAGGTAGTTCTTTTTGAATCAAATATGTCCTAACTTCATAAATTTTAAATAGATAAAGAGTATTAGGGTTCTTCGACAAATCCCTGATCTAAGAATAAAAATGATGTCTAGGCTTTGCACCTAACTGACGTTATTTCAAAATTTATTTTAATCTTGTTTTGAGCATAAGCACTTCTAAAGCGGAAAATAAGAACAAAAATAATTCGATTAGGTATACTAAATAATGCATATATTGTGCGTAATGATTATCCTAAATTTAATAAAGTATATATAAATTCAAGACTAGAAATTTTCAACAAAACTTTATTTTAATCAAATTAGCTAGAAAAGTTATTAAATAATTCATCTCATCAAAAAAAAAATATTTACAATACTTCATAGAAGCAAAACTATTAACTGATAAACCTTATGTTATATGTAGATGTAAGGATTGTTTGTCCTGCAAAAACATACTCGCAACTTTCCACGAATTCACAATGTTCAGGTAAGAAAAAGTCAAAACTATAACAAATGCTTAAAAATTCTTTTTAAAAAGCCAATGTTAAATTCTTTGGCAATCTTTCTGATTGAATTTTTAATTCTATTTTTTATGTTCATACTTATAACATGAGAAAGGAAATTTACAAAATCAGTAGTGGACGTAAACTATGCCATAACTCATGCATACTTTTAACAAAACGTATGCTTTCATAAAATAATAAAATAGATTGAAACCCGATGTGAAACGGGTCAGTTAGTTTAAAGCCGAATTTTATCATGAGACGATATTAGTTTTAGAATTTTCGACTTATAAGAAATGATTAATATTTAAGCTTTGAGGATGGAACACACTATTAAAACAATGAACCAGAAAAAACCAATTTAAAGAAAATAACAAAGCAATATTACACTTAAATATTAAATGAAATGTTATGTTCTTTTATGTTGGATGTTAATCTACTTAAAGAACTGATTGTGTAAAATAGTTTTGTGTAACAAAATTTAAATAATTTCAAAGTTATAGTTTAATCTTGAAAAGATATTTTTGAAAAATTTAGCTGCTCTTTACTATTTATATATTATAACATATATCTGAGAACCTTTGTACTAAAGGTTAAAATACAATAAAATTTAAGTATCTGAATTATTATTTGATTTTTGGATTATCATTTCACTGAGAAATGATTCCATATTAGTCTTTTGTATTTCATTTGTCTAAGAACAAATCAGTTTGAAAAACTAGTAATTGTAAAATATGTTTATATTATAATATTGCTTAAAATATAAAATTGTGTTTTCCATAAAAAATGCAAACCACTAAAATCAACATTTTATAGTAAAACTTGAGCCCTTTGATGTTTTATTTTTGTTAACTCCTTAGCTAATTAACATTTATAACTGCATTTTTTATAATAACATTTGTTTGAACTTCCTGAGACATAATATTTTTTAACATGAAAAACATGTAGATTTATTTGTATGTACATTCAAAAAAATTACTTAAATGTGTACACAATATAAGAATTCTCCTGAAAATCACATCTAGTAAAACGTAATTTTTAATTTATTTTATTTCGATCTTCTTTCGGATTAGCTCGGCGTCAGGAAATCATCAAAATGACTGAACAACTTATCGAAGCCATCAATAATGGAGATTTTGAAACATATACGTGAGTTGAACCATATTTACATTATGGAAAGTTCTTTTCGGGAGAGATTGAAAAGTTCAAGGTGATAAACTTGATTGTTTCAAATTGCCATATTTTATTATCAAGAGCAAGGATTGAACCTTTAAAATTACGCAATATTAAAAAATTATTCATTTGATTCGTATTTTAAATCATGCATGAACATGGCCTTTTTTGCAGTTGCTTCGATCAGAAATTAAGACTTTTTTTGAAAATTCATCGTGACATCAACTTTTAATTTATAGAAAAACTTATTAATCAAAATTTGGGAAAATATGGTATACTAAAACAAAAGTTTACTTATTTCAAAAATTATATAGAAAAAGTATGTTAATGTTTTATTTTTTCTCATAGTTAATGATTAAAAGAAAATACCTGCCTCAATAGAACTTCAATTTATAAACGTCTTCATCAAATTTTTTTTCGAAGAAACGAAACGTTTTTTTTTTGTCATAAAATGATTATAGGAATTGCCAATATCCATTGGAAGCATGATATTATGATTTCAAGTGTTTTTCACGATTTTCCCCAAATTTTTTCATACTTTCTCCAAGTTTTTTCACATATTTTCTGTCACTATTGATTTGGTATATTCAATTTGGTATATTCAAGAATTCGGTGACATAAGTTTAGAGATTTTCTTTCAAAATTCCTTAAGGTGCGCGTACGAAAATGTTCATAACTTTTGAAACTATGTTAAATACATAGAAAGCTGAAAATTCGTTTTTTTAATTAATCATTCATGCTTATCATTCAGTAAAAAAATTAATTTTCTCTGGGTTGTCATTTCCGAGAAAGTTGCATTTAAAATATCTATGATGCCTAAATTGCAGTGTTTTTTCAATGAAACGTCAGCAATTGCTTTAATATATTTTTCCAAGAATATTATTAGTCTGCAAGTAAAAGTGAGTGTATCAAAAAATCATAATACTGGCAGCCATAATAGCGCTTTTATAAATTTAGAAACTTTTGAGAAAATTTCATTCAGTCTCTCCGTCGAAACGTCAGTGATCTTTAGAACTCCTCATATTCAAACATTTTGTTATTTGCAATGATCTTAATTAATTGTTTTATATGTAAGTCTGTTTTATTTAATAAATTCTTCTCCTACTCTTTTAAATTTCAGCAAGATATGTGATCCTCATTTAACTGCATTTGAACCGGAGTCGTTGGGAAATTTAGTAGAAGGGATGGATTTTCATAAATTTTATTTTGAAAATGGTAATTTATACATGATAAGAATTCAAAGATTATTCAATTAGATTTCCACGCAATGTTAGTTTTTCTATATATTTATATTCTAATGTTTTTGTTTATTTTTTCTTCGTCTTAAAGTATTGGGTAAGAATTGCAAAGCTATCAATACCACAATCCTTAATCCACATGTTCATTTATTGGGAGACGAATCGGCCTGTATAGCTTATGTTCGGCTAACTCAATACATGGATAAGTAAGTAGAATAGAAAAACAATAATGATCAAATAATAAACCTTATAAAATTTGAAGGCAAGGTCATGCTCACACTTATCAATCGGAAGAATCACGTGTATGGCACAAACGCGATAACAAATGGCAGAATGTACACATTCATCGTAGTTATACAGGCAATCATAGCGGAGTTGCTCCTTTTGATTTTGGTCAAGGAAGCAAATGAAACTAGGATTATATGATGTATGGCTATTAACACTTTTTCTCAATACAGATTTTTATCTCTTAATTTGTCCATGACATATATCGTAATCTCAAAAATAATTAATAATATGTTAATGAAATAAGAAACGGTAATCGATGGTGAAATGACAATTTAATCAAATTATTTAAAATCATCAATTTCTCTTCATTGTGAAAGTAATTAACTTATGAGAGCGAATAATTTGCATCAATTTAAAAATATTTTAAGAATTTCATTTGAGAGCAAGTTTTTCTAAATCTTTCGAAAAGAAATAAAAATCATTTTTAATATTTTAAAGTTCATTAGAAAAAAATTAATAAAATAATTGAAGCGTTTATAACTGGATTATGCAATGTGTGATTTTAAGATTTAAAGGAACTTCTCTTTGTTTTTGTTCATTATCTCAATAGAAGAGAAAAGAATATTTGTCGTGTTTGATTTCTGCAAAAGAAACATTCTTTAAGATACGATCCGCCTTCCATTGTCACAAAATTTCTTTAACATTTTTGGATTCTTCTCGTTATTTAAGAAAATTATATAAATGTTAAGTGTTTTTATTTACCAAAATGTTCCAATTCAAAGAAAAAAAAATCATTAAACGGTTCAACGATTAAGAACATAAATAAGTTCATATAGATTGTGGAATTTCACTAGATATTTGCAAAGAATTTGTTCATTGAAATTTTAAAGAAAATTGTGAATTGGATTTATTCAAAATTTTGATGAAACTGAAAAATGATTTGAAACTTGACCAGAAAATAAATAAATATGATCGTAAATTATTCACATAAAGAAATATGTACATGCATCTATATAATATAAAAACTCATTTAATTACTTACATTATATGAATGCTCTCTTTTATAATTTATTATTATTTTGGTCAGTTTTAAATTAAATAAACATATTTTCTATAAACTGGAATCCATATAGATCCATATTAGTTGCATTCAAATTGAAATAACTAGTCAAAAAACTTGTGAGTTAGGTGAACAGCCTAAAGAATTTTCACTTAGCTTGAAATTTGGAAACAAATTATTAAAATGTTAACTAATTTGTAACATCGATCGATTAAGGGGCTATAATTATATATTTTTTTAGCAACCTTAACAGATTCTGTTGACTTTTTTCATGAGAGCAAAATTTTAATTACATACAATAAATTCAAAAGGCTATGAAAAAATATTTTTGGTTTATGGTGAAAATTTTATTTAATACCATTTAGATTGAAATTCAAGGAAATATTAGATCCAGAAAAGAGATAATATTTAATACAATCATTAAGATTTATAAAGTATAACTAGATACATATATATGTTTTTGAAATAAATTTAAATGTTTGAAAATCTCAAAATTGCAAAGCTTAACTTATCTATTTAAAACTCTTATCATTAAAAACTTATTCGGAAGGGTTTCATTATATTTTTCCCAATATTTTATTATTTATTTTTAAAATAACTTAATCAAACGAGAGTTGTAACAACTTTTTATAAACAAAAAATAGTGGTTATATCGAGAACATTACGACTCAACTATTTCAATCTCAACATAATATCGGTCGGTGAAGAAATGACTGAAATTAATGAAAAAGTAAACCTTTAAAATGAAGACCAATTTTTTTTTGTCATCAAAGCATGAAAAATTTGAATCCAATTTTTATGATGCTATTATCTAAATTCTAAAAATTTTTTAAAAAACATGGAAAATCCATGTAGTTTTTTCAACAAACAAAGAAATGTCTGAAGAGATAAAACGAATTACATTTGGAATAATTGATTATTTAGGTTTATCTGTATATCAATTTAGAGTAAAATGTATGTGAAATTGGATAAATATGATAGAATGAAAAATTATAACGTATCTACTACATCTGTCCGACGAAGAGCTTTAACAAGAATTTATTAAGGAAAAACATCTTGAAATAAATTAAAATGAATAAATTTTCTGCCTATCCATAAACCTGATCATTTTATATTTAGTTTGAAAGAAATTATAAATTTGTTGAATTTGATAAACTTTTCGGTGAAGCATTTCTTGAAAGTTCTTTTAATTTACATTTAATTTTTTTTTACAGAAAGCAAAATTAAGATCGCAATTCGCAATTTACTTTGTAATCAAATATTATATTTAGGACAAATGAACTTCTTAATAGTATCGCAATAACTAGTAAAACCAAATTTTCTGTAGGTTTTCTTTATTATAGATTTCTTTAATTGACTCTTGAAACGAATAACGGGAAAAACAAAGAAGATTAGTAAATATTAGGTAACATATTGTTATTGTTTACTTAATAGGAATATTTAATCCTATATGGCAGATATATGGATTTTGATCATTTTTCCAAATCCTTAATTTCACAATGGATTTTTTTAAAGTGTTAGTCTAGATAAAATCATTTGCTCCAACGCGTTGAAACATTTTTAAACATGTGTACACTTTAAATTTAAGTTTTATTGAATATTTGAGCTCGAACCGGTATGGAAAAACTTCAGTTGATTCTTCCGTAAAATGTTTTACGTACTTTGATACCCCCGATTATAATATTTTTTACTTTTGCCGAAAATATTGGAGATGCATAAAATTGCATGGTTTGAAAGTTGAAAAATATTATCATAGTCTTTTATTTTTTCCTCATTATACTACATAAAAATGCTTTTTACATTAAAGTTTCATAAGCTTTATATTTTAATTTGTTAAAATAATTGTAAAACTTGAAGTTTCTGTTGAATGTGTTGAAACGGTTGGATTTATTAGTGTTAGTATTTCGATTTTTCAATCATTAAACAACTTTTGTCAGTCTCTCTTAAGTCACTTCCAAGGCATTTGCTGCAAAGCGTGTTTTGAAATAAAAAAATAATAAAAGTGTTGCAAAAAAGTTTTTGAGCAGTTTATTAACAACAACGTTTCAATTAATAAAGAAAAGTGACAGAATCAAGATTCTTTTGTTTTTTAAAACTCTGCTTAAATAATCAAAATTATAGAAAGAGAAAGAATCAAAAGGTCTTCGATCTAGGCTTTCTAATAATAATATTGCAAAGAATAAAAAAAATGAATTAAAACTCATAAAAATATAAACTTTTGAATGAATGAACAAAGGTAAACAGTTTTGAACGGTTGAAAAATAAACTGGAGACGAGTTTTAATATCAAAAAAAAGTTGGTTGTTCAAAAGAACACGGAACCAATAGTCCTTGACAATTAGATATGGCATCCTGCAATAAATGTAGCTTAAAAGAAAAAGAAGAAGTATACACAGCAGCTCGTGATGGAAATCTGTTATATTTGAAGGTGAGTCTATATTGACTAAATTTTGAATTAATTTATTTCCAAGTGAGAAAGACATGCAATCGAATCGCCGACGAATTCATTTATCCTTGAAACATTGTTTTGACGTAAGATATTTTTCTTTGCTTATTTTCAACTTTCGTTCATTGTTTTTCGAAAAGGCTTTTGTGATTTACTTTAAGAATTGACAATGGTGGCTAATAATAATTTTATCATTTTAAATAAACTTATTGATCAACCTTCTATCACAACAATTTGTTACTGAAAAAAAATTGATTTAAAACTTATAATCAATTATAAACTTGTAGATTATAAGTTTTAGTATTGCAAAAAAACGTCATGAACCTATTTCAATGTTTTGCTCACATTCAAGTTCTATTTAAAAATTTCTTTATCACTTGATTTGTCTTATTTATTATTAAAAAGAATTGACACATGAGTAAAAGTAAGCCAGAAATTCGTAATGTGTGCGAGAAATTATTATATTTTTTCATTCTCTCGTTTTTTTAAACAGTGTCTAAGTATTGAAAGAGAATATTATGGCATTTTAATATTCAAAAAAAATTATGTTAAAAGCACAAAAATGTGTTGACAAAGAAATAGTTAAATATGAATAACTAATAATTTGTGATATAAAAATAGTTCAATAAAGGAATACTTGAATCGGCGACGCACGAGTACTAAATACTTGTTCTTTCTTCTTAACTTTGTTTTTCACATTTTGTCGACCAGAAATACTACGTAGATAGATATGATATTCTCCTTTATATTTACTTTCGAGCAGTTTTCTGAAGACAAGAATAGATTTTAGTTTTCTTAAATAGTTCAAATATATTTAAACTTTAAACCTTCATGAAAAATCTCACAATTTCCACTGAAAACTCTTTGTTTTCGAAAGGAAAAATATTTTGGAATTTATTGAATAAGTACAAAATTGGTATATTCATCGATATTTGCGACCAACTGATGAAATGTTTTCAGCTTAAATGTATTGTATTATTTCAACAAGGAAAAACAAGTTTCAAATGAGACGTCGTAGAGACTGTAAAATTATTCCAGCCCATTGACGGCCTTATGCACACGAATATCAAAATTCAATGTGATTACCGTCGAAACGATTTATCTATATAGAAAATTGAACCGTCTAATGTGACGTATGCCCGTTAAAACAAGTTAATTACTGCAATAGCTGATAAGAATTTCATCATCTCAAAATATTTTCCAGTTCATTGCAATCATGCTTTTAACAAGTAAACAATCTGGAAGGGTCATGGTCACTTTTTAAGCTTAAATGCATTGTGTCAAGTTATGTACCGTTTCCAGTCTCTGAAAAAAATTAATTTGAATGGTTGTGTATTCAGCAAAGTCTTTTTTAATATCGAGAAGCAGAATTTTATTCCACTATTCATCATAATATTCTCTCTTTTGTAAATATCTGTTTCTATCTCTATTTCTCTGTTTAAGAAAGATCGTTTTATTTCCTGATTCCATTGAAGGTTGATCAACTCATTTCTTAGGATGACGTTTGTAGAAGTGTAGAGCGTTTATATTTCTATAAACGGTAAAAGCAACTTCTTATTATATACTTTAGCTTTATGTAACTATGTTATTGACCTTCAAGGGTAACATTTAAAAATGTGATTGAATAAACATTTCTTCGTTTCTGGAATCCAACATAAAATAGTTGCTAATATTGTTGCTTCTATAATAATATGTTGCATACAATTACCATATTTGTTATCATACGATTTGTTTATCAACAGTGATAACATTTGAATTTAATTTGAGAATTATAAATTTCTGAGTTTGTGTCAATTACTATTTAATAACATTTATCAAATTTAGTCAAACTAACAATATTTCTCCTGTCGTATTTATTCAAAGATAGCTAACCTTGGTTGCTTCATTTCATCATTTGTAAACAAAGGAGAATAATTGAAACAATTCTATTCAAATATAACAAAAATATAAAAAAAGAAACAGAAGAAATATTAATTATATTCAATCATTATTCTTTTTAATTAAATATTCTTATCACTTCTTCCTTTTCATATGCGATTATTTATCTATATATATTTATAATATTTGCTTAGTTTCACCTATATTTAATTACTTTTGAAAGTTTCTTCACTTCCAAAACATCGGAATTAATTTAAGACTTTTTGGAAAATGAAACACGATTGCTCATAAACTTCACATTTAACATCAGCGTCAATATAGTTGAGATCAACATTTTGCCGCTAAACATGACTGATTTACTCGATCCTAGAATGAACTCATTGGTTTCGTTCTAGGAATCGAATTAAACACAATTTTTCCAACCTTTTCCCAAAGAGCATTAAATTGCCTCGGAAAAGGTTATAAATTATAATGAAAACACAATAAAAATAATGTTTATTTGTCTGATATTTTATAGATATCTATTTATTAAGTGTATATAAATACGTTTCAAACTAGCATAAAGTTTTATGTCTGTTCATTAGTTTCGAACTGAGTTTAAGCCATCATTAGGACAATTTACAAAACAATAACAATCCATTCATTAAAAAAAAATTAATATAAATTTTTCTATCGTTTTTAGCGTTACATTGGAAACCTAGGACAATCTGAAGTTAATTACTTAGTATCATCCAAAACTGGCGGCTGTACACCATTGCTTATCGCATGTCGAAATGGTCATTATGACGTTGTTCAATATTTACTCAAACGTTGCCATGCTGACGTTGAGCAATGCGGTTCCGTGATTTTTGATGGAGAAACTATTGAAAATGGTTTGTATTCTATCATTTATGATATGATGTAGTAAATAAAATTGAAAGTATGTAAATCATTTCCTTCAGCTCCAGCTCTTTGGTGTGCTGCTGCTGCTGGTCATATGAATATTGTAAAGTTACTAGTCAGACATGGTGCTAATGTAAATTCTACAACCAAAACGAATTCAACGCCATTACGAGCGGCTTTTTTTGATGGACATTACGAAATTGTCAAATATCTTGTGATTCATGGTGCAGATATCGAAGTGGCGAACCGTCATGGCCATACATGTCTCATGATAGCTTGTTACAAAGGTCATTATAAAATAGCACAATATCTTCTATCACTTAAAGCACAAGTTAATCGAAGGAGTGTTAAGGGCAATACTGCGCTTCATGATTGCGCTGAGTCTGGTTCACTTGAAATATTGCAACTCTTGTTAGAAAATGGAGCGACAATGGACGTAGATTCCTATGGAATGACGCCACTTCTTGCTGCAAGTGTCACTGGTCATATGGCCATTGTAGAACATCTTATTGGATTACCTTTTGTCAAGCGTGAAGAGAAGATTGGAGCTTTAGAACTTTTAGGAGCAACTTATGTTGATAAGAAACGTGACATGGTGAATGCGTTACAATTCTGGAAGCGCGCAATGTATGAAAGGTGAATGAAACTTTTAGATGTTTGTTTTTTTATCGCATTTACTTGCATTTACTTACATACAATATCATTTATTTTTGTCATTTTTATCGAATGTTTGTTTTTAATTTGTAGATATAACAAGCAACCAATGATTCATAAATCACAACGCGAACCTGTCTCAGCGTACGATTATTCAGTTGAAGTTAATGACCCAAACGCTTTAGATGAACTTGTCATGGATCCTGATGAAATGCGTATGCAAGCTTTATTAATAAGAGAAAGAATTCTTGGACCTGTACATCCAGATACAAGTTATTATATCCGATTTCGAGGTGCTGTGTATGCTGATTCAGGTCGATTTGATCGATGCATTGAACTTTGGACTTATGCACTAAGCATGCAACAAAGAATACTCGAACCGTTGAATCCAATGACACAATCGTCGCTTTTGTCATTTGCTGAATTATTTAGCTTTATGCTTGGTGAAGCAGGACGTCCAATAACTAGAGGGCGAGTGGTTCCACCTATTGAGGCCCAAGATATGTTATTGGTCTTTGAGAGAGCTGTTATGGAAGTATCTCTAGGACAAAAAATGATCACAGAAACTTCATTTGATCACGAAAAAGATTTGGCAGGCTTGAATCGTGCACTTGTCATTGCCCTCCACCTTGCTTGTCTTCTCTCGCGTCTGATATTCTCTGAGAATTGTCCCGACGACATGAAACAGAAAATACTGTTAGTGATCTATGATGTAGTTAAATTAAAGGTTGGAATTTACAAAACATTTATTCTTTTATTTCATATAAATATCTACATAAATCTGACAGATATTTTTTTTGTTAATGCAGGTTGCAGTAAAATCAGGAAGAACAGCCCTTCATCTGGCATGTAATCGTGAGGCTGCTCTAGTTGGAAGATATCCAGTCTGCCAGTTTCCTGTGCCGCAATTGATTAAAGCATTATTGATAGTTGGGGCAGATCCAAATGCTCTCGATGACGATGGAAATGCACCACTTCATTTAGCTGCACTCGCTAGACCCTGCCCCCCAGTAATTGCTCAGACTTTGTTGAAATACGGTGCACATTTAGTAAGCATTTGATTTTATTATTTAGACTCGTTCTAGACACTTATAGAATATTTTTTTATAAATTTAAGGATACAAAGAATAATCAAGGAGATACTTTTGAATCATTACTTCAAGATCAGAAGCTACACGAACTTGTTAATCCTATTCACTTTACACGACTGACATGCTTAGCAGCTGTAGTGTTGAAAAGGCATGGAATACCTTATCAAAATGAAGTTCCTGTAGCATTAAATAAATTTATTGACCAACATTAATATAATCATTAGGACTTCATATACCTTTATAAATTTATACATATACCTATATATCAAAATTTATTTAAAATACAAGAAGCCATCATCAGAAACTTCTTAAGACTTCATTTACATGCTTGATATTATCAATATTTTGAAGCTGTTGAGCTGAAACATCAAAGAAATATAGAGCTTCATGCTTTTCTAGATGAAAGCTATCGTCAATAACTTGAGTCAAACCCTAAAACGGAAAGCTTTATACATTTTGTTAAACAATAATATAAGATCTTCACAAAAAAATATTTAAACAAAGAAAATTGTGTGTTCACAAAATTTTGAAGAAAAAGAAGCAATGCAAAATTAATGCTCATTGAAAATATGTTGCTCATGTTGTGACAGAATAGATGTTACTTGTTTAAAGTTTAAATGGAAATATTAAGCACCCTGTCGTCACAACCATTTTTTTAATGCTCAGAATTGTTTGATGGAATATTTTAGAACGTTCACATACATAGATAATTATCAAGATTAACATTAATCTTGTGTGATAAAAGAATTTGTCAAAGAAATGAAAACAGTTCTTAAGATTTTAAATATATAGACATTTCTAGAATTTCAAAAGTAAATAAACAATGACGTCTAATAGAAAAAAAAACATGTTAGAATATTTCCTTGAAGCGAATAAATATTTTTATAATTTTGAAAAAGACATCACTCTTTCTTTTTCTTTTAAGATTTTCCTTCCTGGAATATGCGATTCTGCTTATTATGCTGAATAAAACTCAGCTTTTAGTGTTATTGTTGAAAACTTCATCGATTTTAAATAATTTCATTTTTTATGCTTAAAAGACAGTGCAATGAGAAAATAAAATTTGTTACCGATTCACTTCATCATGCACTAAGAACTTATCAATGGGTAAGTGGCAAAATTCTTCTCTCATCGACTGGGACAATTTAAGGTAAGATAAAGAATAAATTATAATTGTTGGAGTGATTTTTAGTATGAAATAAAACAAATATTCGACACATATTCCAAATATCTACCTTCAGAATTTGATAAATAATTTAAATATATTTTTAATTACATTATAGTAAATCATAAGTAAAATAGAAATCAACATTTATAATTATTATTGATTTTTGATCTGACGCAATCCCGTAGGCTGTTGATAATATGCCTGCAATTAAAAGTAAAAAAATCTTTAACTAGATATTATTGATTTCACGCGAATCATGTGAAGGATTTTAATTTTTAAAACGTCTAAAAGAGAGAATTTAAAAGTTAAGGAAATTAGCATTTTCAGATTATTTGACATCTATCTACAATTCATTACAAACAAGAAAAATGATATCGAAGGATTGATTATATGGAACGGAAATGATGTTTGCATTTCTGTCAGTTAACTGTCGCGTTTATAGAAGAAAACGTTTAGATGGAAAAATAAAGGAGGTGGCTTAAATAAAGCGAAAAATATCATCACCTGAAATTGTCCATTAAAATGAATTTACCAAGTTTAAGCTGGTATAACAAGAAAAAATTACATAAAAGAAAAAGAGGGAAACAATTTCTGATAATTTTTAATCATGTCGATTTTATGGCCTTAAACATTTTTTGTATATTTTGTGACTTAATTAATAGCTGTCAAACAAAGAAAACCGAGCCTTTGTTTGCTAGATATTATGTTTTATTTTTATATCTTCTGATGCAACAGCTATAAAGATATTATGACCAATAAAGGGTGCTGAAAATGTATCAGTGATTGATTGAAGACGGTAATTATAAAATTGTTTCAAACTTCTAAGTTAAACAAAAACAAGAGATCATTTACTCTCAATAATTAGGTGTTGAATAAGTCACCTCAATATTAGATTCTGCAATGCATTTTTATTACTCGTATAAGGCTAAAATCATACCACTCAATGTATATTATACATATCAATAGAATTCAATAGAAGTAAAACCAAGGATCAAATTTTTAATGTAACTAATATTAAATACACCTGAGCGTTATTAAAATAAGGAGCAGCACAACGTTTTCAAGGCGAGGCGATTATTTCAAACGTAGATCTGGTTATATATATATATATATGAAAAAGGGGTTCGGCAACCTATGTTGTCATATTGATTTTCCTTCTGCTCATGAAACAACTTAAACTTTTATCAACAGAAATGATAAGTTGAAAATCTTTGAAAAGCTTTTACTTCAAGATTAAGTATTTTCTATAAATACATTCCATAAATATACATATAAATATTCTTCCAACTTCAAATGTTACGATTTAAAGGATGGAAAACTACCTTGATATTTTCAAAAGCTAAATTCGTTTTCATATCTATGAACAATAGTGAAAGGAGATAGAACCAAATGTTTAGCTTCGCAACATTTTATATGGCACTGAAGCATACTGAAATTGTGAAGCAAACACGATATTTTTAGGTGCGTCTTGTAATATTTCCTCTTCTCGTTGCTTTTTCCCTTTTATCAATTTAGTAAAAGGTTTGAAGGAAAGTTAGAAAAGTCGTAATCGATGGTTAAAATATATTTTCCTTAACACTTCTCTTTTTTTTAATATATTTTTTTGTTACTTTATGTTTACTGAATATATATTTTAACACACAAATAGAAAATTATATCGTAGATAGCATAAATATAAATATGTATTACAATATAACCTTTCATAGTAGATTATTTTTCTGCATATTATGCTTTATGCACATAAAAGTCAAATGAAATGCTAGTATACCCTTCTGTCTTCCTTACCATTTCAAAGCTAAATATGTGTGAAATTAGACTGAAACACTTTATTTGAATAATTCTGACATAAGACGATGACATTTCCAGTTTCATTTTAAATCAGATATAAAATGAGCTGTAGAAAATGCCATCAAATTTCATCCAATTACTGAGATATTATGTAAATTAATTTTATTATTGCTCACATGAGGCATAACAATTTAATAAGTAGCCTCACTATAAAACCCAAATACTTACAAAAAGGGTTCACATAATTTTTAAACTCTTGTATGTATGAAAAAGGATTATTTTAGAATATCAAATATATCTATTATGCCTATATGATCACTAATTTATAATGTATGCACTAATTTATTCATTTTATAAATGATTAAAAATTGTTTGCAACCTAAGAAAATTATTGTAAAAGTGATTTAAATCGAAATAGATATGAATATTTCAACAAGAATCACCTATGCGATAATTTTCTTAACATTAATTGTAAAGAGATAAGTGAAATTTTGTTTACAAATATTATTTGTTGTAACATGTGACCATAAATTTTAATCTGCTTTACTTTTTTGATTAATTCATTATATTTTCATTATCGGCAAATATTTGGATTATAGACTTTAATACGTAAATTTAATTTTGTATAAACGATACATGCATAAAACTGTTCTTATATTATTTTAAGGAAAGGTCAAAGAAAGAGAGAAAACTGATATTTTCTTCTCCATTTCTTCCCCTAGTTCATGCTCTCTATAGTAAAACTGCGCTCAATCGAATATTTAGTGTTGTAGAAAGCTAAAGTAGAAAATAAATGAATTCTTTTGCTGAGTGGTCTCACGCGTAATGAGAAAGTCGCGATGGAAATTTTTATTACAGAACTGTCGTCACACCTTAGGTTTAGAAACTGTCAGTTAGTTTTTGGTGTGCTACGTGAAGAGTCATATACTTTCATTTTGCTTCAAGAACAAAAAAAATAAAGTCTGCAGTTGTGCTTTTGCTTCATCGTTAGAAAAATCTTTTGAGTTTAATACATATTTAATTTTCTCATTCTTTCGATATCGAAAGACGCTTCTTCATTACATATTTTAATTAAGAACTTTGACCTGTTTTTAACAAGACTGAGAATTTTAAAAATATCTTCAAACGGTTATCACTTCGTTATTTTTGTTTAGTTAACAAAGAACAGAAATCTAAGTAAAAGAGTAAAAGTTTTTTCATATTCTGCTAATGTTTCAAAAATTTTTACTTTTGATTAGTCCCAATCTGAGAAAAATACCTAAAAAACTTTTTACCAAAGAAAAGAATACATTTTAAAAATTCGCATTAGAGGTAAACTTAGCTGTGAAAAAACATAATGTGTTTACAAAATGAGATTGGTTAGAACATTAAAACTATTTGTTCATCAAAGTCCAACAATTTTAAAGTTTTTTATTTCTTCATCACTTAAAGAAGTTCTTATTGGATCGGGTCTTATTAGAATAGAAAGAAATGGAAACTATTTACCTACATATATTTTCTTCACCCTTATGATAACGTCAAATCCTTTTCTTTAAACTAATTTTTGCAAATGAGAAAAATTGATATATCTATAAGTTTAGTAATTTATTATATGTTTCTCTTGTTTTGGTTTTGAAATGATTGTTTCATTAAATCAAAATTATTGAGTGAAAAATAAAATTAACAATTCTCAGAACTTATTTCATATGATAAGAGAATCGGCTATCCTAACTGACTAATGGGCCTGAAATTTGCTAAACCTGTTAATCTGTCTACAGCTTAAAGTTTCATTCTTTCTAAGGAAATTTTTAGCTGTTTTAAGCTGTGTAGCTTGATTATAAATCAAGGTGAGCAAATTTTTCAGGTGTGTTGGTTGTTGGTACTTCAACAAAATGCTCTTTAAAGAGTTTACCAAATGAATCAATAGAAAAGTTCTTCAGGTCATTTTATCAGTTTTCAGTGATTTAAATTAATTTGGGATTAGAATAATGCAATTTCAATTTATGTAGATATTTATGAATTNTGTCAATTTTTTTTGAGAGATAGATTTATTGGAATAAAAACTCGGTATTAAATAGTAATATCCATATTATTCGCAGTATTATGAGAAGGTAAGTAATTTGAAGGTTTAAAATACTTAATTAAGTTTCTTCCTTTGAAGAAACCAAACAGGGTTCAAAACTCACGATTAGCGAAATTATTGTTGAGATATTGCAATATGTAAAAATTGTAAAATAAATATATAAAAATCATATCGAGTTATTCAGCAATTTGAAATAATCCAAATAAAAATAAAATAAATAAAAACCTATTAAAAGAAAGACAATTTTGTGCTGAGCATATATGTTTGATTTTAAAATCAGGTTAATTTTATTTATTATCTAATGTTTTCTGATTCTGGATTGAATACCCAGAAAATTTCAGCTTATAAATAAACATTAATCATTAATATTTATGACAGAACTTATATAATATAGAAATTGAAAATTTTGAAGTAGCTTTTAAATTCGATTTTTGAGTCAAAAATATTTTATTGTTTAGTTGTCATTTAATATTTATAATATCAACGTATTTAAAATTTAAATAACCTTAAGAGATTTATTGACAAATCTTTTAAAGAACTCAAGTTCTCTATCTCATGAACTTATTAAGACACTTAATTTATATTTTTTATATTGCTTTCAAAAGACTTTCAATAAAATGCTCACAAGTCTCATTTCTGCATTCATTTTGTTCGATCTTTAGAAATCTTCAATTTCAGAATATCTACTAGAATCATTTTTATGTTGTAGAAATAATATATAAGACAAATTAAAAAAGACAGAAAATTGGTTTGTAAGAAGTCAATCTCAATTATAAGTTTCATATTAATCTGACAAATTTTTGAAAAAGACAATATGTAATATATATAAAATATGTATTAGGCAGATATCTTTTTGATGTACTTGAACAAAAAAATAACAAATTGTTGAAACCATTAGATAATTATTATAAAAAGAAAATCATTCAAACATTTATGAATGACAAATCTTATAAGAATTTTCAAAAAAATCCTACTAAAATTATTTTACTCAAAATATTATTTGTAGATGGGTTGCAACTTGCAAAAAATGTGAAAATTCAGAAATGTTTAATTTATATTGTTTAATCAGTTTTTTCTTCTTGATTAGGCATACAAAGAAAAAGTTTGCCACAAAATGTATTAAATGTAGCTGACCATCTTGTAAGCCAATCGATGGGTCGATATATCGTTGCATAATACACAGGAATTCCTTGAAAAAGTTAGTTAAATATATTTGAAGCGTTCTAGATTAGTGAACTCAATTTACCTGATATTATGACTAAACATCCGACGCCTACTTCAACCGGGCTAACGTAGCAAGACGAAATGACCAAGAAAGAGCAAGTGACGAGAAAAATGATTGGAAATATTAACTTAACTTTGATGGGTCGTTTTGCATTAGGCTGTTTTATTCGCAAATATAAAAGACCTGAAATTGACATAAGGATGAACAAAGCTTCAACGAAGCTCACATAATTGATGAGAGCATATACGTCAGGAATAAAGAGTAAAATTATTGTTATCAAGCACTGTTGATGGAAGAAGATAGAAAATATATAAGTTAATGAAATAATTTTTGGTTTTTCAACATTTTACCATAAAAATGATTGAAGGAATCGGTGTTAAGCATTTGATGTTTACTAATGATATTGCTGCTGGAAGATGTCCGTTTCGGGCACCAACAAAGAAGAGTCTTGAACTTGCAAAAATTGCACCATTGAGTGATCCGAAAGTCGAGCAAGCAACAAAGAGTGGCATCAGCCAAGCAAACATTCCCATCATTTTATCACCAAATGTAACAGCAACAGCTAGTGATGCTTGAATATCGTTAACCGGTAATACAGCAAAATAAGCCACATTCGTGCATACATAAATGATTGTCACTAAAGGTATGCTTATGCAAATGGCACGAGGTAAGTTCCTATTAAGAAGACATTGAATTAAATATTTTGTGAAGAGATTGCAATCACAACTCTTTCGAGATAATTTTATTTATTTACTTGTAAGGATTTTTCAGTTCCTCAGTAACAAAGTTTAAATAATTCCATCCAGAATAAGAGAAAAGGCCATTATAAAAAGCCAATGCAATATGTCCGGGAGAAGTTGTTGAATTATCAAAAGGCGATTCTAATAATTCAGTATGACCGCTAATCAAATACCAAGCACCTGTAGCAAATATAACAAGTAAAGCAAAAATTTTGGTCGCAGTAAAAAAATCTGTGACACTCGTCACCCATTTGACATTATAACAGTTGATTGCAGTTAGGACGCACGTTACTAAGCAAGCAACTAATGTGACAGCTTCATAGGGTGGATCACAAGCAGGCCAATTGGGCTTTAGAAGATATTGAGCAAATGTTAAAGCTGTTATCGCGTTTCCAGTAGGCACAAGAATCAATAGCGCTACCCAAAGGTACAAGAATGCTGGAAGAGGTCCAAATGCTACTGATATATAAGCGTAGTCACCTCCGGATTTTGGTATCATCGTTCCTAAAATTGAATAATAATATCTAATTAGATTTTTTTTGTTGCAAATTATAACAAGAGTATAAAGATAATAAATATGTAGGTGGATATTTTCAAATTTTTAACTAAAATAGACAAATCTTCTTTATTCACCCAGATATAATAAGTATCTAGATAATCAAATATATTAATAAAATATGCCTGAAATATTAAGAGGACATATTAATCAACTTTATACAGATTTTGAGTAGCTTAATAAATATTGATATAATTTAGTGTGATGAAAGGAATTCATGTCGCTACTTAACGGCATGACAGCATAATACAAAATGATTTCTAAACATTCAAATTTTTAGATGAGCTCTTTAAAATTATTTATTTTGAAATGATTTTCATTAGGTAATTGAATTTAAATAGAACGTTTTCGAAAAATAGGTGAAAGAAGCACTAATAAAGCAACATGACAGCATCTCGATGGTTTCTTCAAATGTTTTTACCTATCAACCTTGCAATAAGCCTTCTTTTGCTTTTAAACTTAATTATTTAGTTAGCCTTTGATCGTCGTACATAAGGTAACTAAATAGCAGTTGACAGGCAGTTTTCATTCAATTTAAATAAATATAACTTGGGAATGAGACTAAATACCAAGACTTTGCTTCTCCCATGAGACTTTTATCCAAATTCTCAAAGACTTTTTTTATTATTTTTTATTTTCTGAATACTGTTTTTAAGTTATAAATTCATTCTTTTGAATCTATCTTCAAATATATTTTAAGAAGGACGTATTATAATAATATATACAAAAAATTTATAGTTTTACACTTTTTTTGGATAAGTATACTTTAAACAGGTTGAGAAACTTCAAAAATTTCGTTAATATTGATAAATGGATTAAAAAGATCAATTCATTAGAAGCTGATATTGTGCTTTATTGTAAGTCTGTAATTAATCCATGTATTTTATTCCTCAATTTTTAAGTGCAAGTTTTTGACTGATGTTGTCCGTGATATTTCTTGTTTTTCATAAGATTTTTTAATTTGTAAACATTTTCTTACTTGGGAACTTTTTTGTGGGCATTTTTAAGCGATATACATAAAAGTGAGAAAAAAGAAGTTGAAGGGCAATCGCACGATATTGTTGAGGCCAGCGGTCAGTAGAAAAAATATACCTAATTATGATAAAAAAATAAAGCATTGTCTCTTGAACTTACTTCGTTTCTTACTTTATTATAGTTTTTTTGAATAATCTATCCATAAATATCCAAACTTAGATTCTTTACAACATAAAACTTAAAAAATTTTAAACAGAAAACAATGCTAAGCAATAGTAAGGAAAAAATAAAATATGAAAAGTTTAAATTTGTGGGCAAAACAATCCAATATTTCAATTATCTAAGTGAAGTAGGTATAATGTTTAAGGTCTTTATAAGCTTTTCTTTTCATTATGTAATTTTATCATATAATAAAAGAAAATTGGGGCACATTTCCCACAACATGGAAGAAGACACGGAAACATGAGTTTTAGAATGACGATTAATTAATCATTTGAGAAATCGAAACACACTCGTGTATGACTTCATGCGTTAGGTAATAATGTTTGTTGTTTTCATTTAATTGTAATTTGTGAAACTCTTTTATATTGATCTCATGCTCGAACAAATTCTTGTGATTCACGTTTAGAAATTAAATAATTTTAAAAGTGAGGAGAGGAGTAAACGTCAATTAAATATTCTTCTGCATGAGAACTTCGTTCGTGAGAAATGAACATAAAAAATATTTCTCAGTTTACAAGGCTGAGTGAATTGAATTTCCCTCAATTCACTTTCAATGAACAACGATGGTATTATTGCGATTCAAGTTTTTAGTGTAACCTACAGTTGAAAGTACTTCTAAAGTTTGTTTTATTAAAATTAAAGTCCAAAATACAATGATTAAGATCATTTAACATAAAATGTAAATACTTTTAAATATATATTTTCTGATTAATTTAAAAAGTGTTGTTGCTTACACTTAACCAAGAGACTGTGATTTGTTACGGAACAAATTTAACATTTACATCCGAGAGTTCAAGGTCAAAAGTTTGCAAGTCTCTGAGAAAATTATTGAAATCTATTTAAACTTCACAATAATTAAATACACATATAAATAAATATATAATAGAGGAGATACTAAAACACAACGTAATCTTTAACAACTTTAATAAAAAAAATCGCATGCATTAGATGTTATTAAAGATCTGATTGCACCACTATTTGTTGAAATTATGGAAACTTTTCTTCATCTCAAAAAGATACCTACTGGTATTTAAAAATAGGCAAGGAAGCAACAATAGTGAAGACATTTTTCAATTGTAACGTCATGAGAAGCTGATTTTTTAATCATATTCTTGAAAGCTAAGTTAAGCTATTTGTTCGCATTTAAAGCACATACATAGTACCTAACATAAATTTTGCAAAAATATAATTTAAAATTTCAACATCTTTAAACTCGACTGCAATTTTTAGTTGAGTAAACACAACAAAAGTTGTGATGATTTTATGTTTGTCTGTTGTGGAATAATTCTCCAATGATCAAAAACACTCTTATATTTACAAAATAAAGTAGAATTTGATTTTTTAATTTTTAGAATCAAAAAAACTATTATCATATTTATTTTATTGGGATGGTGAAGAATCAATTAGAAAAAAAAATTCTGTCACACGAAGTTTTGTTTCTCAATGTTAGTTTTCAACATGAACTTAACCAATTTGAAAAAATGTCTTTCATCTTCCTAAGTAGTTGAAAAGATGCTTGCTTTACATTAGCTTATGCTTTAACTGTTATATGTGTAAAACTGCTCCCTCCCAAAACAACTGTCGCAACGTCGTGAAGTCTAAAGAGCTAAACATTTATTCCCCTAGATTTTCAACAAAGATTTACTCTTTTTAAAAACAAAAATGAATTTTAGCTTTCGGTATAAATACCATTTGCGAACTGTAGCATAATAACCAGTTTACATTTTGATTTTTGACCGTATGCTTGGTCTTTACCTTTGTAGATTTAATTTCCTATAAGTTTTTTGCAATGAAAATATTTGTGAGTAATATTTATTTTAAATAATTTAAAGTGCAATAAAAAGTGCATAACTGAGAAAAAAAATAAAGCATGTGGAATTGGAAAAAAAATTATGAAATAAATAATCCTCAAAATATGACAAAAAATATATATATATTTTATATATCTAATATAACTATACAATATCTGTTTTATATAATGTTACAGTTAATAATAAAAACCTTAAAATATTAAAAAAAAAAATGTTCCAAGTGAAAGAATAAAACTGAAAATTATAATTTTAATTTCAGTTATGCTTAGCACTTTTTTTAGTGTCTTCAAGTGCTGAAGAAAAAAAATCTGGAAAAAACCCCAAAGCAGAACCTTTGGAGAAAAAGTTGGACAAACGTGGACTTTTGAATCTTGGATATGGTTATGGTATTAATGGATTAGACATTGGATACATTGGAGGTAGTGGACATCATGGAGGAGCGTATCATGCCGCAGCTCCAGTCATTGAAAATGCGCCGTTTGCTCACAACTATGGAGCTCCAATTTATTTGGGACATAAGACTGATGTTCAGAAAACAATCACGCATGTTAAGGGCATCCCAGTTCCTTATGAAGTAATTGTAATATTAAATATTCTAGCATTTATTTCATGCATTATTTCATTCTTCAGGTTACTAAACATGTTCCATATGAAGTGCAAAAGCATGTTCCTTACCCAGTAAAGGTAAATAGTTAAAAGTGAAAAAATCATTAAAATGAATATGTGTTTAAAAGCGAAAAATAATTAAAAACTTCATCTTCCCAGAAGAAGGAATAATTAATTTTACAATGTCAATCATTGATTCTTTTTTTTAACATTCCTAATTATTCAGACTTTTTCATTTTCTTACTCTCACAACCTCTTTTATTTACATTTAAAACATACCATTTTGGTAAGATTATCAGATTTAATTAGGAATGTTAAAAATAAGTAAATTTAAATGAATAATAATAATTTCTATAATTATCCTACAGGTTCCAGTTCCGCAACCATACGAAGTCGTGAAACACGTAAGGAAACTTACAAAAGCAAATGAATTGTGATTAGATTGAAAAATTTATTTTTAGGTGCCAATTCATGTTAAAGAATATGTGAAAGTCCCAGTTCATGTACCTTCTCCATATCCTGGTATGTACCCTTATAAACCTACATCAAATAGGTACATGATTTACCTCCTATATTTCTTAAATTAATTTTTTATAGTTGAAAAAAAGGTTCCATATCCAGTACATGTCCCAGTAGAACGTCCATATCCCGTTAAAGGTAAATGTCAGATCTATGTATGGCATTCTAAGTACTAACGAATTCTTGTATATTTTTTAAGTTTATGTTCCAACGCCATATGAAGTTATTAAGAAAGTTCCATACCCAGTTCATGTACCCCAACCTTATCCAGTAGTACATGAGAAAAAAGTTCCCGTAGAGGTATAACCGATGGTTAAAAAATGAATTTAACATAAGATTGAATTCCGAAAAATCGAATTGAATCTTATTTATGAAATTCAAAATTTTCTTTAGAGGTTTATATTAAATTTATAATCAATAGGTTATTAGAGAAGTTGAAGTTCCAAGACCGTATGAAGTTGTTAAACATGTTCCAGTTGAAGTAAAAGTGCCAGTTGATAGACCTTACCCTGTGTAAAATTATTCTAAATTAATTTTAAAGTATAAAAGTTATTACAACAAATGATTATTTCCATAGCCATGTACCAGCACCATATCCAGTCGAAGTCGAAAAACCATATCCCGTTGAAGTTGTTAAACATGTCAAAGTTCCAGTCCATGTGACAGTTGATCGGTAGTTTGAATTAAAACGTTTTGTATTCAAAATAAATGTTCATTAAAAAAATAATTACTTTCAGACCATATCCAGTTCAAGTTGAAAAGAAGGTAAAATGTTTATTTATGATCTAGTATTCATTCAATTTGTCCCTAGCGAAATTGGGAAATAAAAAAATATCATTTGTTCCTGCATGCTCCAAAAAGCGACGAAAAACCAAATTTAAAGAACTTAGCTGTGCAAATGTAATGAATCACTTTATTTACTTTTTTTAATTTCAGGTTCATGTTCCAGTTAAAGTTCCTGTTCCAACACCAGTTGAAGTTTACAAGAAAGTAATAAAACTTATAAGAAAATAATGATAGTAATGTATTTAAAAATATCTCATTTTTCTTTAAAAGGTTCCTTATGTAGTAGAAAAGCCAGTTCCATATCCTGTGCATGTTTCAGTCGATCGACCATTTATTCAAGAGAGAAAAATTCATTTCCCTGTTGTCCATGAAAAACCGATTGGTGTGAAAGTAGCAGTGTCACCACCGAAATCTTTTGGCGGAAGTTTCAAATACCCCGAACATAACTCATACACTAGTTTTAGTGGATATGGTAGCGAGTACAGTTATCATCACTAGAAAACGCTATTAAACATAATTTTATCATTTTTAAGTTGTGTTTGAACCGCGTTTGTGTTATACTCGTAAATTTCCATGCAAATATTTACTTGTCTATTCTGCTATCGTTAGAAGAAACTCTCAGAAATTATTTACTATTTATTTTTTGTTTTCTTTAAAAAAAAAGGATGTTTTAAGCGTTTTATCACAAATAAAAGCAACATGTTCTATAAAAAAGTTACTGTGTCCACTTAATAATAATTCATTATGATAGTCTGATTTCTTTCTTATCAGAATAGTTAAAATATATTTTATAATTGAACAATGTTTACATAAAGTTTCAAGTTTACTTATGCTGCATTATTGCATGCTATTACTAAATCAATAATAACTTAATAACAAAATGCTGAAGTAGCGGTATACGTGTTATTAAATTTTTATCGGAATTTTAAATACTTTGATAGAATATATTTTGTAATTGATATCAATTTTAAGAAAAATCATAAACTTACCCAGTTCAGCATAACAAAGAGCACCAACCATACTGAGAGCACCAGATAAAATCCAAACTATGAGTGATAATCCAATAGATTGTGAATGAAGTAAAACCCCTTTAGGTGATACAAATATTCCTGAACCGACTATAACTCCCACAATTATTGCAACTCCATCAAGAAGAGAAATTTGTTTCTTCATTACAACACCTTCATGGGTTTCGATTGAAGTTTTAGATGCACTTTCAGAATGCGTAAAGCCAGCTCTTGGAGCCATTTCATCACCAATTGATACTTTTGTCATATTTTCTTTAGCCTTTGAACACAAAATGTCTCACTATCTAATTTTTTTCAATTGTAGTCTGTATTGTATGTAAGTAAATATTTTAACTGAATATGAAATAGAAAACAATTTTCATTTTTTTTGTAGTTGATATGAAAGCATTCATTAATCACATTTTTCACTTTCGTACATCTCGACAATTGTCATTTAGCATTATTAACTCAATATTCTTACTTTAAAGCTTCAAAACTTGAAAGTATCGATCTACTAGGGCACAATAGTGCTCAAAGGCACAACAAATATCACAAAAATGTTTTTTTGTGCATCGACTACTCAAAATGTATATTTTTAAAGCACATGATTTCACTTGCTCTGTAAAGGGAAAAAATATTTTGCTTCAGTGTGAATGATAAACAATGAAATGTCGCCAACACTTTTCAACAAATGCTCTCCAATTATGGGAAATTAAGCCAATTTTTTTTGCTGTCATTTAATAATAAAAAGTAATGTCACGGAATGTATATCTGGATAATAGAATCAGATTTGATCTAACCTTTTTAATATATTTTCACTTATAATCAAATGAAATAACTAATTGAATTAATCCCTGATTTATTTTTAAACACTTCAATTAAGATATTAAAAATTTAAATTCTTGCTTATATTCTAAGATATAATATTCATGTTTTCAAATTTATGATATTCACTTGTTGCAATGGTTAAAAGCATAATAGGTTTTGAAATAAATTTAATTCACCAGAAACATTAAATATTTTATGCATCCAATTGACACTATTGCCTGAATGAAACTGAATTAAAAGTATAAATTGAGAAGATTAATGGTATTCTCTCTACGAGCATGAAATTTAGAAGGAAAAAAAACATCTGAGATAACAAAGTTAAGAAATGCTATCAGTGACAACTAGATATAAAAGGTAAAAAGATGTTCAGTTCTTTCGAAGAGCAGAACTTGAATTCAATATCAGTGAGTTTTTTTTTTGTGAAAAAAAAGAAAGGTTTTTAGAAAAAAAAACTTATGCGGCATAAAAAAATCTGGATGCGCTTTGAAAAAATTGCATAAGCCGTAGAAGAGTTTTGAATACCAATTAGGTATATTTTATATCAAGAAACATGTTTAATGTTAGTATGATTCAAGTGAAAACTTTCGTATGAATGTTAATTTCAAAGTTTATTTATATAAACATGGTATTTAAGGTCTTATTTTGCACAAACTAAATTTTGCAAAGCCATACTACAAATTTGTAATGTTATAATATTCTAGAGGACATAATTTTACCTTTTTGACGGTAACAGATTTATAACCTAACCATTAAATTATAAACTTAATACAAAATACAGAAATTTAATTCAATATTAGTTCAAATTGTTTAAGAATCTAAAAAACAAGTTTTTTGAAACACATTTAAAGTTTACTGTTGCGCCAAAAATTGGCGAACTGGCAAAAACCTGAACTAATTATTTTCAAAATTTATCAACCTGACAGAAAACATCAACCTACCTATCTCCCTTCAAACTATTCTTGGTCTTTTTATTTAATCCCAAAGCAAAAGTTGATATTTCGATTCATATGTTTTATTAATCTTTTAGTATTAACAATATTTTAAAAGTAATCTGAAATTTTAAATATTTTTGCAGTTTTATCCTCAGAAACAGATAATAACAAATTTTTTTCTTTGTGATAAGCGATATCGTGAATATTGTTAGCATGGCCTAAAAGTGTGAAAATTTTTTCACCATTTCTAATATTCCAAACTTTGATAGAACCTCCAAGTGTTCCTCCTAAAACCATGAAATCCTTCAGCCAGATTAATTTTGTAATTCCTGTGGGATTCTCATCTTTACATTCGTTTCTTAAAGTTTGGTGAGCGACATCCCAAATTATTACCTTTCCATCCAAACTTCCAGTGACTGCAATCTTTAGATCAAAGCCTGGATAATCAATTAAAACTTGTTCAACAGAAGAAGTTTCTGAATTTGATGATGGTATTGTTAAATGTCCAATAAGTCCATTGGGTCCAAAAAGTTTTGCTGTTCCATCGACACATCCTGCAATTACTATGTTGTTTTCACTGTCTGTGCTTAAAGAGATGATAGAAGAAACTTCGGAATTTTCAGTATCCGTGTTACTCGTCACTGAAGATATATTTTGCACTGTTTGTTGATTCTTAACATCCCATAACTTAAAAGTTCCGTCCCCATATCCTGCCGCCAACATTCTGTCATCATTTGTAAACATTGCAACTTCACATTTCTCTCCAGTGCCTTGAAGAACTTTGCATTCACCTGATGGAATACGCCAAATAAATATTTCACCTACTTCAGAACCTGCCAGCAAAACATTAGATTTTCTATGCCATTTCATCCATGAAATATCTCCCATTGAATATTCCCATACTTTTTTATAATTCTTTTCAACTTTAAAAACTTTTACTTCACCAGCCATGTCCGCGGTAGCAAGATATCCTCCATCGTATGAAAATTCCACTGCTACAACACTGTCTTTATGCTCAGTAACTTCGTAAACAACTTCTCCTGTTTCTATCTTCCAAACAAAGGCTTTATCATCTTCCCCTCCAGTAACAGCAAGCACACCATCAGGATGAAATGAACCACAAAATAAGGCACTATTATGTTTATTGAACGTTAGAAAAGAATCATCACGTTCTGGTGGTTGATTTTCAATAACATCCTCCATATTTTCATCTGTTTCCAAAAGCCTTAGTCAATAAATATTTAAATTAGGTATTATCTATTTAAAAATTCTTACCTTCCAAAACTTCTTCATTATCGCTTAATTCTTCTACTTCCTCAAATTCATTTATGTCATCTATCTCGTAGATTATTTCATCTTCAGCATTACTGTTGTATGGTGACGTTGGAGGAGTATTATCACGCATTTTCAAATAAAAGATAACTCAAGTTATTTCAAATATGCACGTTGTTTACAAATACGGTAGACAGGGTGTCAATCTACTGACATTGCATTTGTTTTGACAAAAAAAAAGTATTATCCATGAAAAAAATACCTTCTTATGAGAGAAAAATTTAGAAATTTCTCTTAATGCATCTAATTTAATTATTCGAATAGATAAAAATAGAATTGAAGAAATAAAAAAGATTTTTAAGCGTTTCAAAATTTTTGAAAAAAATATTGCGCATAAAGAATTCTATTTTTCAGACGCATAATATTCAAACATTGAGTACATGTATTAACCAGAAGTGTTGATTTCTAACATTTCTCCAATGTGCATATAATGTTCCAATGATGATGTTGAATGTGAAAAGATTTTTGTCCGCATACGTCCGGCAACTTTTTTTGCTTTTAACAGTGTACCAAGTGATCTCTAAGAAGAGATCAGAAAAGTGTTCCTTAAGATTTCTTCCGAAAGCTTTATTATTTTTTTCTTTATTGTTTATTTAAAACAGTTAAGTTTAAACTGTTTTACTTTTAAAAGTTGGTCCTTGAATTGCTTCGTTTCTCTTTTACAAATATTATTTTGTTTGCATACGCAATATGCTTTATTAAATTTCATTTATGGTATTTACAAAAAACTTGATAAATCAAGAAGTAGAAGGTAAGAAAAAAATTTCTAATGAAAAGATTACAAACTAGGTTCCCTAAAATAGTGTTTTATTTATTACGTTTTATAAAACTATTATGAAAGGGAAACTAAATATCTACTTGATATTTAAAAGCGTCAGAATAAATGTTGGAAAATAGCTATTATTAAATACTTCAGTTTGTAATTTATGTCGTTCCAAAGAGAAACAGAGCTTTTCGTATGACACTACAAATTAAAAATTTAAAGCTAGGATAAATATTAGATTGGTCCATCGTTCTATGATTTCACGGAATCGTAGTTAACTACTTCAATTTCATAATAATACAGATAAAATTTCGCTATCAAAAAAAATTTATCCAATATATTATTAGCTCTCATGTTTAACTTATTTATCATTTCAATTTATAATTTAATATTTAACGCTTATCACTGCACAAACAGTTTCACAGTTAAATTCAAAACCTTTAATTAGCACTTAAATTCTATTATGGTCATAAATAGATAGGTATATTTATAAATCATTGTTAATTTGAAATTTTGAAAATGAATTCCTTATTTTGTTTCTTGTGGACCTCTAATTTAGCATTTACAAATTAAAAAAAGTCTTGATAAATTAAATTTTAACTTGAATAATTTCGGATAAGTAAAATTTTCAGATTGGACATTTTAATTCTTCTAAAGTTCATGTCTATTAATAAATAGGTATGCAAAGTTTATTAATATGAATATCGCTATTTTATTTAAAACACTTCCAAATGTGTCAAACAAGCAAGAAATAAAATAAAAAACAGAAAATGGTACTTAAATTAAGTTCTGCAGTTGGTAATCATGAAAATTAAAAACAAAATCAAACATCTTATATGAGCAAGATGTATGAAAAGAGAATGTACACGAAACAGGTTTAAGTATCTCCATTCAATGAATTTCTTTCTGTTTTTCTTTTTGGCACTAAAGCAAAACTATGTCAAATGATCGGAGAAATTTTCAGTAACCGAAAGACCTACATAAACTTTTAATATCGTTGTTGAAGTTGTGCTGTAACTACATCGTGAGATATTTTCAGTATTAACAGTAGAAAAAAGGAAAAATTTAATTAGAACCGGAAGTTTAATAAATTTTATCTAAATAAAAAATCTGTATATTTATTATGTATAGATTAATTTAAAAATTTAGAAAGATGAAAAGTCTGAATTTTAATTTTTTAAAATCCTAATATCAAATATCTAATTCTATTTTTTCTATTTTTTTGAATTAAATATTCAATATTTAAAGTATAATAGAGTTAAACAGCACTATGAGTGATTTTGTAACTGTTGTTGCGGTCAATGCTGAAAATGTGGAGAATAAATCTCACTTCATAACTGTTTTATCAATCAACCACAACGATAACAATCAGAATGAAGTAACACATGCAGCAGATCAAAATGAAACCGAAATTGTTACTGTCTATAGACTTCCAGGAGAAAGATTGGGATTTGGATTAAAGTTTCAAGGAGGATCTAATACCAGTGAAAATTTGGAAAGGCTTTTCATTCAGTCATGTGATCCTGACAGCCCCGCGTCAAAGGCAAGAGCTTCATGGGGACCTTTAAGTGAAGGTGATGAAGTGTTACAAATTGACAATGAACTTGTTAAGAACATGACGAGAATAGAATGCGTTAAATGTCTAAAAGATAAGAACGTCGCTATAAATTTATTAGTGAAAAGAAGAATTAACGCACATGGAAAAAGGAATGAAATTTGCTCGAGTTCTGCAAAAAAGCGTTCGATTCCACCTCCGCCTCCAGTGGTGCCTCCGAGAAAAATTAACAAAAAACCAATCATAGCTCAACAAGTTCAGAATACATTTTCAATAAAAGAAAGTTTTGAAATTCCAACGCCAGTTGCTGCAGAAAACTATTTAAATACACTTGAAGATATAATATGTCATAACGATGAATCAGATGAGACCGGAAGCACAATTTCATCTCAAATCTCTGTCGTTTCAAATTTTTCATCAGAATCTGATTTACCTGTGCTGACAACGAACATAAGCAAAAATGATTTCACAAAAATACTTTCCAAACCTTTTCAAAAGATTGAACAAGAATTCAATGTCTTCCCATCTTCAAAAAATCCACAACTAAATAATATTCTATGGACTCCGCTTGATGAATCTGAAATAAAATTACTTGAAACTGATGAAATGAGCAAAAAGGATGAAAAATCTCATCAATCGATGTATGAAAATATTGATGTTATGACTGACGGAAAATCTTCTGTATTACCGACACCTCATCCTAGATCATCATCAATACACACAAAAATGTCCAAAACTAGCTCTGAAGCTCCTATAAAAACAGTTGAATCATGGCTAAATGATGCTAAAACAACGGAGAAACATAATATAGATAACAATGATAAGAGAATTAATTTACACTCTCATGAACAATCATGGGAATCTATTGGATTTGGATGTTTCGCTGCCGAAGATGATGATGAAGATGAAAAACTGGGACCTCATGAATTGCTGAATATTTCTCAAGCATACTTCAACTCTTCATGGTGCTGTGCCAGCAGTTCATCGGCAAATAATCTGCCAACAATTGGAGAGGCCGAGGAAGAATTTCCATCTTTGGAACCTGCACGCGAACAGAACAAAATAAGTACAGTTTCGATCGGGTAAGAATTAATTCTCAAAATGATAATAAAATATAATGAAAAATCATTTTTTTACTCATTGTAGACCTATCTTTATCGTAAACGCTGAAAACGAAAGTGAAAAGGAAACAAACTTAGTAACACAGTATGATAACTTTGAAATAAATAATAATTTTTCATATCCTAATGAATCAAAAAATAATCATTTAAATGATAAACGTGAGGATAAGATACAAAACGAAAGTCAATATTTAGTTCCTTGTCATGTGCCAACAGAGAACATAAGTAGTGAAAAGTATTATAATGGTGTTGAAAATGAGAAGGAAAAATGTATTGAAAACATGAATGAAATTATCCTAAGCAGAAGCTTTGAGATGAACAGTGAAACAAATGAAGAGCAACTATTTGAAAGTATTGGTGAAGAAATTAAATTAGAAAATTTTGAAAAAAAGGACCTAAAAAATGACTTAAAAGGACTTAAAATGAAAAGCATTTACAATACTGATAAAATAATGATGCAATCCGTGCCACCAACCGCCGCTTCATCAATCTCACAACAAACATTGCATTCTGAAACAAAAATGAGTAAGTCAAATATGTATCTTATTTCTATTTCAACATTAGTATTCTAGTAGAAAATAAGTAATTCACCAAAATTATAAAGTATTTTTGAGCAACTAAAAATAATTCAAATACATACACACATTTTATTATATCTTCCAACAGTTGCGAAAACAAATGTTACTAAAACGTCACTATCGCCTTGTCTTTATCAAAATTCGACAAATATACAATTAGTGCCTTCAGCGAGTGACAATAGTAACATGGAAAAGCGTCGAAATCTTTTGAATGAACGGAGATTCTTGTGGAACGAACCTAATTCAAAATTTGAAACAGAAAATCAGGATAAAACGTAAATAATATTATTCTAAACTAATTTTAAATTAATTATCACGAAAATTCCTTTTTTTGACAGAGATATGACCGTAGCCGATAATAAAAGTAATCAGTTACCTACGCAGTTGGTTATTAATAAAGCTACAGCCATTGTTGCTCCATTTGCTCCACGGAAAATTTTGAAAAATGATATAAAATTGCCAACTTCAAAGCAAACATCAAAGCAAACATTAGCGTCACCGATGAACCGCTTGCGCTCATTTTATTGGTATAATAAAGATGAAAGATCAGAGAAAAGTGTAAAAGATAAAATTGCGATGTTTTCAAACTCAACATCTGACATCTCTCACATTCTTCCAAAAACATTTAAAAGCAAGGCACCGACAGAAGAACCATATAAATTTCCCAAGAATTTGTCTTCATTTACTAAGAGTTCAAGTGACATTAGTACCATTTGTATGAATTTTGATGATAAGGATGAGAAGAAAGCAATGAGCGTTGAAAATCTCTTTGCTGCTAATGATGACATGATCGATAAATCTGAAGAAAAAAAAAGAACTAACCAGGATAAAAATTGTGAAAAGTTTTATTTATCAGAAAAGAATCAATTTCCAAATCAACAATTCGGAAAAACAAAAAATATACAAACTTTATCAGAGTCAAGAATACGAACTTGCCAAGTTCCAACGAAAGCATTAAATGAACGAAAAAAAGAAAACCCAGCAGAAAATTCGAAGATTCAATTGAATGAAAATTATCAGAAATCAATGACACGCATTCTTGAAAATCGTAAGAAGAGCATGTCAAAATTGCGAGGCCTTGTAATACCAACTAAAGTTCCTGAAATTGATTTATGTTCCAAAAAAGTTATTGGACTTCCAGTTATAAAGAGCAAAGATTATGAGATGATTAGTGGAAGGAAGTTACTGAATGCGAATCTGCACAAAAAAGAATATTTGGATGGATCAGCTACAAATCTCAAGACTATTATTCCACCATTAAAACCTCCTCGAACTTCATTAACATCTCAATCAATTATGACCATAAATACTGATGAAAGCGATACTGACTTTGGCTTAAGTTCAGATTTAACTACATCATCTACATTAGGTGATGTTTCCCCTCAAATGACTCTAACTCGTAGCGTAAGTTGTGAAACTAATACTTCAATTAGCTCTAGTTCCACCCTGACTTCTGGTTCTGGGTCTGGTTCTCAAGCGAGTTGTTCATCAAATAATTCAATTTCAAGTACACGTCCAACTAAATCCACAGAATTTGCAACGAGTAGAAAATCTATTCTTGCATTATCTAAAAGTCGGACTGGTCGAGAGTATTTGGATAAATCATGGAACGATGAAGAAAGTACTGATGGAGGAAATGCTGATGATTTCAGCCCGAGAAATTCTAAATCAAAAGCGACTATGCAATCAATTGTAAACCATAAAGTTGCATCACTTAATGATAATTTAGTTGGAAAAACTATTAAAATTGGAAAGCAAATCGAAATTCTATCATCCGATTCAGATGAAAAACCAAATCAAATGCTTTCTAAAGTCTCATCAAAAAGTTCTATTGAAAAAGAAAATCTTTCGAGTAAATATAAAAAGAAAAATCTGACAGATTCGGGAAAATTGACTCGTCAAACAGATTTGAGTAACTCTAATAAAAAGACGCAATTAGAATCTAAAGAATACCCAAAATTTGTAAAAAACTTGGTGAAAAAACATCATAAACCAATCAATTTGTCAGAAATACGAAAAAACTTTGAAAAATCTACAATAAATTCTGACACTCAGTCATCAGTCATTTCCGTTTTTCCGTGTCCTATTAATAATACAAAGGAAAACGCAATGATAGATCACAAGCGTTTTTCATCGTGGGATTCCTTTATATCGTCATCTTCAGGCGTTTCCTCTGAAATTCAAGGTTCAGGAAACGGTACTAATAATTCAGAGTCTTTACAAACACTTCCTTCAGACTTTGGAAGCTTTTCCTCTTATGATAGTAGTCATAGTTTGATAACATCACAGGTGGCATTCGAATTTTTTACGAGTTCTCGAGTTTATTTACTAAAAAATTAATTTTTATGATTCAGGACTTGCAACTAATAATCGATGAAGCTGATCCTCCACTGAACACAACAGAAGTTTTTGTTGTTGTATTACATCGCGAAGTACCTGAGTCAACTATAGGGATCACACTAGCTGGTGGGTCTGACTACGAGGCTAAAGAAATAACTGTAAGTAATGATATCTTCTGCATTTCAAAATCTATTAATTTTGTATTGTTAAAGATTCACAGAATATTGAAAAATTCGCCTGCAGACAAAGATGGACGTTTAAAAATAGGTGATCGGTTATTATCAATAAATGGACTTAGCATGAGAGGTTTAACACATCGAGAATCGCTGAGTGTTCTAAAGGTGAGAAACTTTAAACATTTTCTTCAGTATTCTATAATTTTTTTTCTCTCAAAAGTCTCCAAGAACTGATGTTGTGATCGTTGCAACGAGATCCGAATCGAATGAGAAAGCGAAATCAGTTTCAAACATAATTTCTGCAACTAAAGTTGAGTGCAAACTTAACAAAAGAAAGGAAACGGAATCAATTTTAAAAGATGATGTTAAATTCAATGAAAGTAAGATATTGACATTATTCAATTTTTATATTTTTTCTATTCGTTCATTTAAATTTTTTTCTGAACTTAGGGGAATATGACATGTTTATGGAGAAAGACGAAACAGGATTAGGTTTTTTAATTGATGGCGGATTATGTTCACCTTCTGGAAACCTGCCTTTGGTTGTAAAGAAAATTTTCAGAGGCACGTAGTACACTTAATATTTGCACGAGTGTAATCAACAATTTATTATTTTTCATCATAGGTGGTGCAGCTGAGAAAACATCAAATCTAAATGTTGGTGATGAGATTCTTGCAATTGATGGAAAATCAATTGTAAATCAAACCCGAATTGAAGTTTGGAATATGATTAAAAAAATTCCACAGGGCAAGACTGTACAACTAAGATTAAAGAAAAAAGTTTAAGTTCAAAAAGGAACTTTTATTTTTAATCTTAACTAAATGCCTACACTTGCCTTTTCTTCATTTTTGAATCATAATTTTATTTCAAGGTATAAAATTATTCTGATTTGTGAAAATGAAGTCAGTAAAGATTATTTTGAAATATGCAAGCATACATTTTTCGTACTTTTTAACAATCAATATGATAATTTTAAATGATCGAATTTGATTCTAAGGTTTTTTCACTCCATTAAGTATTTTTGGTAATAATTTTACATTTTCAAATTCATACAGTTGTTTAATTTAAAAAAGTTAAGAGAAACTTTAATTAATTTATGTAGATAATTTTGTAAGTGCAATTTCGAAGCTCCTTATATAAAATAAAAAAAAAAAATCAAATATTACAAATAAACACTTATCAATATTTCTTATGATAGTTTACTTTTATTTTCATTTCTATTTTGTAAGTTTCTATTCTATAATATTTTCTTACCAAAGACTAGTAATCAGCTGTTCGAGCAATGTGAGAACAATTATTTTAAACTTGAAACATTGTGCAACATTCAGTTAGAACATTCGATTTATTTTCATATTTACAAATAATCAGTTGAGAAAAAATTATCTGTACTCATGCGCCGTTCGTAAAATTTTCACAATAAAAAATCGATCCCATTGAAAGAAAAGTTACTTTCTTGGAAATCTCTTATGATAAGTCGTAAGTGAATTTATTCATTTTTGAAAAACCAAAATAAATTTAACTCATTTAAAAAACCTAGAAAAGTTGAAATCATCTAATATTTCATTAATTTAGTGCATTATGGATTATAAAAGTGTTATCTGAAAATAAAAATGGTTTTATAAATTCCATAAAAAATAGTCAGAGAAGTTATGTACATTAGTTATTTCAATAACATCTAAAAACAAACGCAACCATTTGAGAACGTTATACCTTTTTATCTATTTTCAAAAAATCTGTAATTGATAACTATTTAAATAAAAAATTTTCTAAGTTGGAACTTCCGAAGAAAGAATATAGCTAACATATTCCAGTGAATTTCATAAAGTAACTTAAAGTACTGATAAAACTTCACAAACTGAACTTTTCAAAAAATTAACACACATTGACTTCAATTAAAATTATCGAGATAGGGATTGTGTCATTTGAAAGAAATCGTGTTTCTTTTAATTCATATGTCTTTTCTCGCCATTTTGCATTTCCAATCCCTTAATGTTAATGCAACATCAATTTCTAGATGCAAACTTATTGGTTTGAATAATAAAATATTCAGAAGGCATTTCAAATTCACATATCTTTTTTAAATAAAATGAGTCTACTATATAATATTAAATATATACTTATTCAACAATAGAGAAACGTCAAAAGAAAAAAAGTAAAAAATGTCATCTGTAAAAGTCGCAGTTCGTGTGCGACCCTTCAATACTCGAGAAATTATTCGTGAGTCAAAATGTATCATTGAAATGTCCGGAAATGTGACGGCAATAACAAACCCGAAAGTTCCACAAGGGACAGCAGATTCTGTCAAAAGATTTCACTTTGATTATTCCTATTGGTCACATGATGTAAGTAAATACATAAAATCTATGCTTGTAAAGTTTTTCATAATTAAATTCGAGAAAAGCCGGATGACCCCGAATTTTCAACTCAAGAAATGGTGTATGCTGACATTGGGGAAGAAATGCTTCAACATTCTTTTGACGGATACAATGTTTGCATATTCGCATATGGCCAAACTGGAGCTGGAAAGTAAATATTTTGAAAATAACAATAATTATAATAATAATATCGTTTACTTTTCATTTTATTAAGATCATATACAATGATGGGAAAGCAAGAGAAAGGACAAGAAGGAATCATTCCAATTATTTGTGAAGATCTATTCAATCGTATTCGTTCTACGGAATCAAATTCTTTGAGTTACTCCGTAGAAGTGTCGTATATGGAAATTTATTGTGAACGTGTCAGAGACTTATTAAATCCAAAGAATAAAGGAAATTTACGAGTTCGTGAACATCCGGCTTTAGGTCCATACGTTGAAGATTTATCAAAGCTTGCAGTAACCTCTTATCAAGATATTTATGATTTAATTGATGAAGGCAACAAAGCAAGGTACATACTTATTAAACATATTTCACATAACATTTTTTAAAGTATTTTTACTACTGTAGAACCGTTGCTGCTACAAATATGAATGAAACTAGCTCCAGATCTCATGCTGTTTTTACAATATTTTTTACGCAACAACGTCAAGATGAAGCTACTTCTCTTGTATGCGAGAAAGTTTCAAAGATAAGTTTAGTTGATTTAGCAGGAAGTGAAAGAGCAGATAGTACCGGGGCAAAAGGAATGAGACTTAAGGAAGGGGCCAATATAAATAAAAGCTTAACAACACTTGGAAAAGTCATTTCAGCTTTAGCAGAAATTGTATTGTTTATAAAGGTGTACTCGTTGCCAGTCTTATTTACATTATCTCTTGTTTAACTTTCAGTCGGTTTCAAAATTAAAAAAGTCCAAAAAGTCTGATTTCATTCCTTACCGAGATTCCGTATTGACTTGGCTTCTACGAGAAAATTTAGGTGGAAATTCTAAGACTGCAATGATAGCTGCAATCAGCCCTGCCGATATTAATTATGATGAAACATTGAGCACACTCAGGTCACTAAATAGAACTGACAAAATGATACAATTATCAAACTACTTATACTTTTCTATTTCTAAATTAAGATATGCCGATCGTGCCAAACAAATTGTATGCAAGGCTATTGTTAACGAAGATGCCAATGCGAAACTTATCCGCGAACTTAAAGAAGAGATTCAAAAACTTCGCGAACTTTTAAAAAGTGAAGGAATTGAGATGAAAGAAGGTAATTGATATGTGCTTACTTTCTTTTTAATGTAGTAATCTCCACAAAATTTTGAAATGATTATGGTTTAACATTGAAAAAGAGAAATATTGAGAAAAAAAAGTTGCATAAATCTAAAAAATGCAAATAATTTATTCTCAATAATCAGCAAAATCACCAATTTTTCGTCGCATAATTTTTTTTAAGTATTGTCATATAATTTATCGTTTTCAATCACATCCACTAGGATCTGATGGAAAAATCGTTTATACAAAAAGAAATTCCACAAGTAAGTGAAATTAAAAATTCTGTAAACCTTGTTGATAAGGTTTTCATAAATCTAGTGAAATCTTCGTTAGTTCTTCAGATAAAAAAAATATGTTAACGGAAGCTTCAGGGAAAGAAATTTGAAATTACCTTATTAACAAAATATATGATTTAATTTCCATTATATTTTCTATATGTTTAAATTTGCTCAAACAAATATCTAAAATTATTATTTTTTTAAGCACAAGATGGTTTTAAAGATGCTAGCAACAATGACAATGGTGACAAAGATGATATTGTTCCTTCAAAAAGTTGTAATCGAACAGCTTCAAGCACAGAAATGGCAGGTGACCAGCTTCAAGCAAGTGAAAAACTTATTAGAGAACTAAACGAGACTTGGGAGCAAAAACTGATAAGAACTGAAGAAATTCGCCAGCAGCGTGAGGCTGTGTTTGCTGAAATGGGTGTTGCAGTAAAAGAAGACGGAATAACGGTCGGAGTGTTTAGTCCTAAAAAAACTCCACATTTAGTAAATTTGAATGAAGATCCAACCTTATCTGAATGCTTATTGTATTACATCAAAGACGGATTAACTCGTTTGGGAACATCTGAAGCAAATCTGCCGCAAGATATTCAATTATCTGGTTCGCACATTCTTAAAGAACACTGCATTTTCGAAAATCAAAAGGGAATCGTTACAATGACTCCTGCAAAAGATGCTATGGTTTATTGTAATGGACGCAAAGTGACAAGGCCTGAAATAATGTCATCTGGGTCTCGAGTTATTCTTGGAAAAAATCATGTGTTTAGATTCACACATCCAGAACAAGCTCGTGAGAAACGAGAAAAACAACTGGAAATCAAAGCATCTGAAGTTGAAGCTAAAACTGAGATCGTTGATTGGAATTTTGCTAAGTGTGAGTTGTTAGAGAAGCAAGGTATAGACTTAAAGAAGGAAATGGAAAAGCGTTTGGTGCTTTTAGAAGAACAATTTAAACGTGAAAAACAGCAAGCTGATGAACAATTTGAAGAGCAGAAAAAAGTAAGAAAAATGCGAATAATTTGATTCTTATTCTAATTTATTTCTTTTTAAAGTCCTACGAAGCTCGTATCGACGCACTTCAGAAACAAGTTGATGAGCAGTCAATGACGATGTCAATGTACAGTAGTTACAGTCCTGAAGATTTCACTCGTGAAGAAAACCAGATATTTGGTAAAAAATATATATTTGCTATACCTATATCTGATTCGATTTAAAAATATCTTCATTATTAAGGTAACCCACTCTTTGAAACATGTTGGAGTGAACGTCAGGCTGGTCTTGTGGCGTGGGCTTTTAAGAAATGGAGATATCATCAGTTTACATCATTACGTGATGATTTATGGGGAAATGCAATATTTTTGAAAGAAGCAAACGCAATTTCTGTGGAGTTAAAAAAGAAAGTTCAATTTCAATTTGCTTTACTTACGGACACACTTTACTCGCCACTTCCTCCAGATTTGAAACCAGTGTCAATGAACACATTTTCTAGTGGAAGTGAAAATGATGCTGAAACATACGACATAGCACCTTCTCGAACAATCGTAGCTGTTGAAGTTACCGACACCAAAAATGGTGCGACACATTATTGGCCTCTTGAAAAGTTACGGTAATTACCTACATATTTATCTATAACATAATTTCTAAAGACATTCGTTTTATTCACCTTCAAATCATCAATGGTTCAATCTAAAAATAGTTTAAGAGAAATGTCAATTTATAAACTACAATTTTTAAAAGAATCAGAATTTTTTGTTTCTTTCTATGAATTGTTTCTCAGTCACTTTTGAATTTTTCAAAAGCTTTTTTCAACTACAAATAAAAATAATTACCTTTCCTAAAACCTGAAATATCTATATGAATGTCAAATCAAAGCTTATGAAAATGATGCTTTTTGATTCAACTGATACTGACTTTTATATAGCTTTCGTCTTGAGTTGATGCGTCAATTTTACAACACTGCTGAGAGTCCTGAAGTACCGATTTTTCTTTTACCAAATAAATCGTCATGTGTTACACTTGGTGACCCAGCAATCAAATCTACGCCTTCATACGAACAGGCGACAAACAGTAGCAAGAATACAGCAAGACTTTCATTGACCAATCTTTTACCTTCTAGGTCAGAAAACTATTATTTAATTTGTGTACTTAAGTTCCAAATATTTTCATACCTTTGTTGCCACAATTTTAAGTTTTAGTTTTTATTATTTTTTGAATATATAAGAATTCCATACGAAATGTGTATCAATATATACAAAGTCAAATAATAATCTTGCAAGTATTAATGAAATTTTTTTAAAGGTTTCGAAGCATTTGAAGGTTTCTGTCTTTGAAAAGTAATTTTTTATAGACACGCAAAAAAGTTTCTTCTATATTGATATTACCTTTCAAATGCATCATTTCACTATCGAAACAACATTAAAAAACTCATCTGAAATATCGATGCAATTCAAATATTTTTATTTTTTTAATTCTTGATGCTTTAGATTTTTTTTATGTCTATCTCTAAAATATTTATGTACTGCTTTTGTTCTTTAAACTTTACGAAGATAATGAATGCCAAATCAAACATGCATCATAAATTTAAATGCTGATATAAATACTTAACATTTTGTTTGGTCTTATAATCGATTTAATGCAATTTTTTTGGTATTTAATTTGATAGTCAACGGTTGGAGTTAATGCGAGAAATGTATCACAATGAAGCTGAACTATCACCGACATCGCCTGATTACAATATCGAATCTTTGACTGGTGGTGATCCATTTTATGATCGTTTTCCATGGTTTCGAATGGTTGGACGATCATTTATTTATCTCAGTAATCTGCTGTATCCCGTACCTTTGGTACACAAAGTTGTGATTGTTAATGAACGTGGTGATGTCCGGGGATGCATTCGAGTTGCTGTCCAACCAGTGTTGGTAAGATAAAATGAAGTTCTTTAGTTCTTAAACAAACTGTTTTTTTTTTGAATGTTTGTTTTTAGGAAGAAGAAAATGTTGATTTCAATAATGGTGTTAAGAAGTCGGCAAGGATTCTCTTTGATGAAAAAAACATAACTAATTTTTCAAAACATAAATATCGCTTAAATGCTCAAAAAAAAGACGATAAATTATCTGAATGTGGGGAAAGTATAAAAATTGATGAAAATGAATTGGAAGATGCTGACTCGGGTCGTGATGACTCAAGTGCGGCTTCTGAAATGCACAACAACCAAGAAGAACATCAAGGTGATCATTTAGTGATAGGGTCTGAATTCACATTTCGAGTTACTGTTCTACAAGTTTCGGATATCGCTTCTCAGTATTCTGACATCTTCTGCCAATTTAATTTCATGCATCGCCATGAAGAAGCTTTTAGCACAGAGCCGATAAAAAATGCAGGCGTTCCTTTAGGATTTTATCATGTTCAAAACATAACTGTTCCAGTCACAAAATCATTCATTGAATATTTGAAAACACAGCCGATTATGTTTAAAGTGTTTGGTCATTACCAACATCATCCCTTACATAAAGATGCAAAACAAGACACAGTCACTCGACCTCCACCACGACGAATGTTTCCTCCTAGTATACCCATAAGTCATCCAGTAAGAAGTCCAAAATTTGATCCATTACCATGTCCACCGTCGTCTACAGTTTTGGCAAAGCATGATGTTCTTGTCTGGTTTGAAATTTGTGAGCTTGCACAAAATGGTGAATATGTTCCTTCAGCTGTTGAGCATAGTGACGATTTACCATGCCGTGGAATGTTTCTTCTTCATCAAGGAATTCAACGACGTATACGAATAACAATATTTCATGAGAGAACTCCTGAAATTAAATGGAAAGATATCAAGGAAGTTGTTGTTGGAAGAATCAGAAATACCCCAGAGCCAACTGATAACTTCGACGATGCAGATTCTTGTGTATTATCTTTAGGACTGTTTCCTGGCGAACCTTTAACGATTCCAGGTGACGAGAGAGATTTCTTCAGATTTGAAGCTGCTTGGGATTCTAGCTTACACAATTCCGCTTTATTAAACAGAGTTTCGCAAACAGGAGAGTCAGTTTATATTACATTAAGTGCTTACTTAGAGGTAAATCTTTGCAAACTATAATAATAATAATACTTGTTTAATTTATTGATGAATTTTATTTACAAGCTGGAAAATTGTACACGTCCAGCCATCATAACTAAGGATTTAAGCATGATAATTTATGGACGAGATGCACGTATAGGGCCGAGATCATTGAAACATCTTTTTTCGGGAAATTATCGCAATCCTGAGGCCAATCGTTTAACTGGTGTTTATGAACTCTCACTCAGACGAGCTTCTGAAGCAGGTAGTCCAGGTAGAAAGTTGATATTGGTTTTGTCTTTTGTTTCTGTTACATATTATTAAAATGTTGGGGAATGATTTTCTATTTAAATCTTTTTTTTCCAAACTAAATCTTTAATTCAATTAATGAAAAAAGTAGATTTAAAAATTTAGATAATGAAGTATTTTTATGAAATTAAGATTTGAAGTATATCATAAAATTTCTTAGGTGTACAACGACGTCAACGGCGTGTTCTCGACACGAGCACGACATATGTTCGTGGAGAAGAAAATCTTGACGGCTGGCGGCCAAGGGGTGATTCATTAATTTTTGATCATCAATGGGAACTTGAGAAGCTAACACGTTTAGAAGAAGTTGGTCGCGTAAGACATCTTCTGTTGCTGCGAGAACGATTGGGAATGGATATATTCCCTAACCCTACAACAAAAATAGAAAAAGACGTTTGTAACTTAGCTGCCAGGGCTAATCAATCGCCTGTTCATAACATGATGATTCCACAATCGCCACCGGCATCATTTAAGAAAATTGATGAAGAACATGCATATACTCAGAAAGAACAGACACTCCTTAAACAATGTATAAGATTGATTCAAGAACGCATTGGAGAGAAAAATGTAACTCATGAAACGGTCGACGAAACAGCCAAATTACTGGTTGAAGACAGTTCTCCTGATTTGACAGCTCATTTTACATCTGACCTTGTTTCACCGCAAGGATATCTTGATATTCCAAATGGATGGGAAGCTCCCACTCCTTCAATACATCAGGAAACTTCATATCGCTTATTTGTTCCTGACCTTGAAGAAATTCGAATTAGCCCAATTGTCGCCAGAAAAGGATTTTTGAATATTCTAGAACACGGTGGTTCAGGATGGAAAAAGCGTTGGGTTGTCGTAAGACGTCCTTATGCTTTCATTTACAGATCTGAAAAAGACCCTGTTGAACGCGCAATTATGAATTTGGGAACAGCGCATGTTGAATGTAGTGGAGATCAAGCTGCAATGGTAAAACTACCAAACACTTTCAGGTAATTTAGATTTTTTTTTAGTAATCAGAAACTTTAGTAATATTTAAAATAAATAAATATTTGCTATCATCTATTTAGTGTCGTTACTAAATACCGAGGCTACTTATTGCAAACACTTTTCGACAAGGAAGTTCATGATTGGCTCTACGCTATAAATCCACTTTTAGCGGGTCAAATCAAGTAAACTAAAAAAATTTACTATACGTATTTATTATCTATAATTTGCATTTTTAAATATTTTAGATCTCGCTCTGCTCGTTCCAACAAAGGATCAAATGCAAAGGGACAGGAAAACTAATTTTTATACAATATAATGGGCCATCATTTTATATAGATATTCAACAATGCTTGCATTAATCAAAGCTCAATGACTTTTTAAATATTAGGATTATAAATTAAGTATTTACTCTCAAAATCAGCTTCATGTAAAAATAAAGTAAAAAAATATATAAAATTAATAATATTAATGAACAAAAATGCTAATTATGCTAGAAAAGGTATGTTGAATACATTCAATCGTATAAAATAAATATCTGAGAGCTTACTCATAAACGTTAAATTAAGCAACTTATTGATTCTGCTTAGAAAAGGATATTTTTTTATTTGTTAGATATTCTTTATTGATCATGCTGAAAAAAGAGATCTTTTTTCTTTTGAAAGAAAAAAGTTATTGCACTGAAGGAAATTATTTTAAAAAACAGTATCGATATACCTGTAACGTGATTAAAAATAACATGCTTGCCTTCTTAATTGTCTTTTTAAAGCTACAGTGGCAATTTACAACTTTTAATTTTAAAAAGCGCATAAAAAGTTTACTCGCTAACAAAGATAAAGAAATAAAAGGGACAAAGCAGTAATAATTTTTTTTTAAACTTTGTTGGTTGTGGTTGAAGAACCTTTGGCTTCACGTATTTAAATACATACAGATTATAAATTATTATTTTTAAATTTTATGTTATCTAACAAAAAATTAATAAGTTCACCCTTAAAGTCAGTATAAAATATCTGTTGCAAACACTGAAAAGGGAGAAAAATTAATTAAATTGACAGACATCGAGATTTTTATCTATAAAAATTTTATTTTTTTAATGCAAACCGACAGAGAGATGTCAGCAAAGACAAAAAAGAACTTAAATATTAATGAAGAGACATATATTCAAAATAAATTAAAAAATGTTGAAAATTAATAAAAATACGTATACATAGTTAGATGTAGATATCAAAATCAATATTGAGATGATAATTATTATAAATTTCATGTATTTATGTATATTAATGAACCAATGCATCAAAACGAGTAATGTTCATATAAATATATCTAGCCATTCAAATT